AGCTTTGTCTTGCAAATTTTATACTCAAATAAGTGGGATTCAATTGACTTAATTAGCTATAGCATGTAGTACACAAAAGTAAGTAATCTCAGAAATAAATCTTTACATTAAGTTCAGAGTTTGGACTGAACCAATGTACCGTAAATTTTTTAATGGATAGTTATTCCTTTGAAACTCAAATTTTAGGGGTTATTTACCTACTGCTGGAAATTATTGTACTATCGACGAGACTAATTAGTTCACCATAGACATTGACAATTCCTATAAATGAATTTTTATATGTACAGCTCAGGTACTAAGCGCCAAGCGGTAACTGCACAACAGTGACCAAAAGCTATCATTGATTTTTTTCAGTCTTCAGCTTTATCTGAAAAACGATACTTTATTGTAGTAATCTTGTATAAAAGATACATATATCACCGATCATCAGAAGTAGTGTTCAGTTTCCCTTGGCATTCAGAAAAACATCATATAAATATAGAGAATTTCAAAAGGGATTTTATTATCTCTTCAGGACCAGACATTTCCTGAAAAGTCTGTGCATTATAGTAGTAGTTTTGCACGTGTAAACATAAACTACTGCAGAAGGTTGTAACTAGGACACGGAGCTTGACATAGTTCATGCCCTGTGTGGGTGGTGGCCCTACAAATGTGGGCGGATTTACTTACGTAACTAAACAAACGCCGAAGGGCAACCGCTTGCCACAGAGCCTTTCGCAACGCCCGCCCTACGACTATTTTAAGAGAATTGTGAACTTGTCGTTGTGACTAACAATACGCTTTGGCTGGTTTTATCATTACTGCTAGTAGCTACGCATTTTGTAACTTCTTGGTGACATTCGTTTACTATAAATTAGAAATAGATGTTGGTGACGGGGTCATTGACAGAGCGGAGGCGGGTAGCGCGGATGCAGCGAATGCACCGAGCGAGTTCCGGTGCACTACGCACCAGGTATAAATAGCGATCCGTTAGTGTCGACGACCGCGCGCCGTCATCACTATATTCATCCTGTTCTTAGCGCGAGCCGTGACCTAGATTTAGAAAAATATGCACCTAATCGTTACATCACTGGAGAAGGGCTTCTCGGTTAAATCACAAAGAACTCGCCGTTCTCAGATGGGGTGAAAGGGTCGGGTGTTAGGGCGTTAGCTGTCTAGAACGTGCCGGGCGAACGTAATGGGCCCGTTTAGGAATGGGGTGTAGGGGGAGAACTTATAATGCATACATTTTCGACAACTCGATAGAAGCAACTCGACGGTGTCGATGCGCGCGCGGCCCCTCGCTTGAGCTTCCCTCCCTGTGCGTGAAGGGCCCGTGCGTACGTGACGCGGCGCATGGAGAGGGACGAGGGCAAAGAGGTTGCGCCCCGCCCGCACATCTCTAACACAGCTTAGATGCACTATTACTCTAGGGTCGAGGACCGCGTATTATTTTCTGCGCAACTAATACCAGTCAGTCGTGTTGCCCGTTCATTAACATAGATAAAACTATACATGTACCGCTATGTTCTCTGGCAGTAACTTCACATAATATTCCAAGAGAGCATGAGAAACGCCGTCGAATTCCGGTTTCTCCGCTATTCTGTTACTATGCGGGGCACTCAACACACCACGTTGTTAGTCTCGAATCACGTGTAAAAATAATAACATCATTGTGATGTAATCGTTTCAACGTAGCATATAAATGTTGATGATTCTATATTTAAATGTGTATTGCACAGTTTGCTATACCTGTGTAGTTATCTAGGTATTTATTATATATATTGTGTCACGAATCGGGTTACTTATTATGTTTTATTTATACCAATACATTAAAAATATTACAACCTCAAAGAGACCTGTATTAATGTCAATATATGGGTTTCAAGAATTAATTTTCATAAGAACTTACAATTGGTTCACTTATAATGAGTTACATAGTAATTAACTAATGACTAATACAATATTCACTAATATAAAATAACAAAAAATACAGTATTATTATGAATTGAAAAGTAACAACAACAACAATGTAACAGCGTCATGGCGTTTCAAGAAACAACACAGTCACAACAAGACTTAGTCAAAAAGACTAGTAATTGCCTAAAAAGTAAACGATAGAGCTATAACTTTATCCAACGGACCCAAAGAAAACTGCCACTCCTTAACCGACTGCAAAAAAAGGAAGGTTTTCAGTACGTCGCGATCACATTGACCAAGAAGGTGCACCAAGAAAACTCAAGAAGCTTTTGCAACGTGCATAAATTCCAGGGCTAAAGATGAAATATTGGGAGATGTTGAATTTCAGGCTATTATAAAATTATCATGATTGTGAGATGTACTTAGTTTGTTAATTTTACGTATTTACCGGTGACGTTTGCCGACATTGGTAAAATTAACTACCGAATGCAACTTCGATGCAAACTATTGAGCCAGCAAACACGTCGATAAATTTTATGGCTTTCTACGCAATGCACGCTGTATATACTTTCTCACTCACAACAATATACCAAACAAGTTACGCTGTACTTGAAGCATGACTGTTTTGATCGGTAACTCACGACTGCAACAACGGGACGTAGTAGGTGGGTATCAATCATAAACAAAATCATCCCACTTGATCCCACACAATTGCATCTGGATCTAATTCAAACTAAGATTCTTACATCGTACATTGTTTAGTAGAAAGAAATAAAATTACATGGCGTAAACTTAGTAAACCGCCAAGATCATATTATGCAACCTATGCAGCGTATACGCATTATTTATGAGTAGGAAAGACATAGTAATGACTGGCTTAAGGAGCAGCTGATGTGACAGGTGTAGAAGCAGCCGGCAGGCACCTGCCATCGGCACGCGCCACTGCAAGCTGCTCTATAACAATTACATAGCTTTCATTACTACATCACTATCGATACTAAACGACCTGACATTACCTAGCTTCAAACTTACTACCTAGCAGCTGGCTACCAACTTCGTAATGTATAAGAACAACTGCCACACGCTTAAATACGAGGGGACTTAATACAATACGGGACCGCAATAAATTGCCTGATCTATCACTGGCTTAATACTCAAAAATAATACCTGGAACAGTATACATATTAATGTATAAACAAATAATAATAGTAACAATAGCGTTTTATTTATTTTTTACGAAGAAGAAACCCATTTGCAATGCTATTCACGATGCAATGATTCTTAGTATAGTCACTTCCGCTTGGGTTTTACAAGTAAGTACTAGGCGAGAATATCGATGAACAAGTTTACGAAACGGGCCTAGCAAGTCTAGTTATTGGAGGACTCCAGAGTGGAATACCGTTACTAGAAGCGGTTAGCGAGGTTGCGTAGATAATGCGGAGACCGGTCGGCGACTGATAGCCAATATGATTCGTGATGACTATTACGATGGCGCTGACGAATGAAACGAAACAGTTGGTAGGTACTAAACTCGAAAAGGATATAGGCGTGAGTTCTGTTAACAATCTAAAACATGAAGATAATAAATGGGGGTACTTGGTGAACTTATTTTGATAATGGTAAATTAGGAGGTATTTAAATAAAAAAAAAACCATTAGCATTTGATATCAGTAAATTAGAAGGCTTAAATCTCAAAACCCCTCAGCAATTGATAATAGTAAATTAAAAGGTAGTTTTAATCCCAAATATTCTTCCCAAACTGATAATAATAGTAATTTAGAAGGTAGTTTTATTCTATCTCAAAACCCTTAGCAATTGTTAATAGTAAATTAGAAGGTAGTTTAAATCTGAAATCCCTAAGCAATTTATAATTGTAAATTAGAAGGTAATTTCAATCGGAAACCCTAAGCAATTTACAATACTAAATTAGAAGGCAGTTTTAATCTGAAAAACCTTGGCAATTGATAATAATAAATTAGAAGGTAGTTTTAATCTGCTTCAAAAACCCTAAGCAATAAATAATAATAAATTAGGAAGCAATTTCAATGTGAAAACCCCTTAGCAATTGATAATAGTAAATTAGAAGGTAGTTTTAATCTCAAAGAGCCTTAACAATTAATAATAGTCAATTAGAAGGCAGTTTTAATGTATCTCAAAACCACTTAGCAATTTATAATAGTAAATTAAAACCCTAAACAATTGACAATTGACAATACTAAATTAGAAGGTAGTTTTACTCTCAAAAACCCTTAGCAAGCAGATCCTATCTGTAGTGGTTTCCTGAGCATGTAGATGTGTTGTCCGTCCAGTAAGTAACTTACCTCATTAAATTACTGACCAGTAGCGAGGCAGTACCGGTCCAATGACCAATGACGTAATACAAAAGTGCGCGAATTCCACCTGTTAGCATTTAAAAGTTACATTCAGACAACGGATTCTAGTCAGCCATGTCATCATAATGTCATGACTCACAGATTTTCCGGTGTAAATCATAGTAGGTAATTGTATAACTACAATCTTACTCATCGTCATCAATGAGTTCTTATCATCCTTTCAAGACATCAAGGATACGGTAAGTAGGCCAGTTAGCTTAGTCATCAGTGTAGCTTCATCAATAAATATTACCCGCTATACCATAGTTGATTTTCTTTAAAAATTATTCTATGCCCATATACCTATTCTATTATTATAAAATAGTTGCTTTATATGGTTTTTAGTATGCAGTTATTATTGTCTTCGGTTTTTATAATGCTTGACGCTATGTAACACAATTCTACCGACTCCTATCAGAAATGTTTGCAAAATATAGGTACCGTAATTTTAATCATTAATTTTATTGACGCTGCAAACAATGTTTGGCAATGATATCGTGGTGTAGGGCTCGGCAATCGACATCGCGTGCGGCAGTATTGTGGCCACACTTCACCGACCTACATTTTATGCGACGGCACACTCATTATTTACTAGCCTTAACGACACACGCTCTACCCACCCTTGGTCATTTTATGTCCTTTTAAATTCCTGACACTCCTGAACTCAATTTCTTGTTGACTGAGCAAAATTATCGTCGAGCAGCTACCTGCGAAAACATTACAAAAAACATGCAAAAACCCTTCAAACGAACAAAAACGAGACCTATCGACGGGACTTGGTCCGGAGACGTCGACGTTGGTGTCTGCATGTCGGAAACAAAACACAATAGAAAGAGTCGCGTGCGAACGCGACACAGGGATACGGGCGGCAGGTGGAGAGAGAGAGTCGACACGAGGGTCGACGTAAACAAACCGCAAGCGGGAGCTTCGACCGCACTCACCATTTCGGGGATCTTTGAATCCGTGGAAGTCCGGTGCGGCCACAGCGGACCAGTAGTGAAGAGCGGAGACGTCGTTAGCGAGAACAGCACAGGTACACGATCACATAAGATGGTTCAAAGCACGCACACGGTACATTGGAATACGATACGTCCCGTCCTACACTACGATCGCGCCCCGCGCCAATGCAGTTTACGTCACCGCATCCCGCTCCCGACTGGCAATCCGCGGCGCGAGCGAGCGACGACCTCGCGCTGCAGCGTGCACCGTCCCGCGTCCCGCGCGGTGCCCCGCTAAGCCGACGCGCCCTGCGCCCCTCGCGCTCCGCCGCCTACCCCGCGCCAGCCCTAGCCCTTCCTCTCCGCGTCGCGCTCGTCCTACGTCCGGCGAATTACGATGTCGACATGACAAGAGCTAGAAGGGCTCTCGTTATGTCGACATCATACTACATGTGGAGCTTTCATTGCTATCTAACCAAAGTTTTATTATACCTAGAAGTCAAAAAGATATCCCGAAGCTAGATGGCAAGAATCTACGAATGGTTGACAAAAAGAGACAAGAGAAGCTCATTAACTTTCTTATTTACACTTTTTCTGACGTATTTATAAACTGTCGTCGTAATAGATTCTATAGCCAAAAATACAAAATTTTTACAAAAAAATAATACTACTCGAAGTGTGAATGGAATTCGTCTAACTCGTTGGGGGTTCATTGACATTGATATCCAAGATAATTACAGTATTTAATTACTTGATTGGATTCGAATTAATTAAATATTTGATAACGTCTCATAAATAAAACAATTAAGTTATTTGAAAACTCGGTACTATACCTATTACAAAAAGGTTATAAAAAAATATGACAAAAATAAATTAAGTATTTTATGTACAAAGATAGTACCGTGTCTTCACAAAAAGAAAGTAAAAGTTTATTAGAAAGCTATGGAGGGTAGTAGTAAAATATGTTGCAGGAAAATAGCAAATATGCTTTGGTAATTAATCAGATTAAGTATATACCTATGGCAATCAGGTATACTGCATATAGACAAATATATTATATTTTCCTTTACGCAATAACTGTAAAAAGTTGTAGGAAATTAAGCGTAGATTTAATTACCAAGTTAAATTGATAAATGGTTCAATATAAAATACTCACCGTATTTTACATTTCATTTACAAAAATGGCGGTTAAACTATTGACTTTAATGGTATTTTGTGGACATATGTTGTATTCAAAGGTCACTAAATAAAAACCACCTTTTACCCACAGGCTATTTTTTGTTAAAATTAAACCTACACTCTTCAATATTATGAAACTTGAATACATTGCCCGTTTTCAGTTGCCTCAAGTTTGCTTCATTTTTTTTCTCGGGACAAAACGAGACTGGTTCAACGGAGGCGGAACCCTTCACAGATGTTTTAATATCTGATCTGGCAAAACTATTATTGCCCACATGTCAGAAAATCTTTGAAAAATAAAAAAGATGAAAGAAATTTTACAGCATAATCTCTTTACAATAAATATTAGAGAAATCGAGAAACTATAAATAATAAGACTTAAGAATTATATTCGTTTTATCTCATAAAATTGACTTCATTTATCTTGTTTTGTCTAAATTTCCATGGGCAAATGGAATGTCATTTCGCTTCCGACAGCAGCTGTGCATATTGACTGCAACAGTACTCGTACGCCAAAGGGATGACAGTATTAGACTACAAAAATAATTGTAATTTTGAATACGTTTCGCCCTGGTGTGGATTTACCTAGAAATTCACTGACAGGCCTAATGGGACTGGGTTAACAGTTTTATAATATTTTGCAAAGTACCTACAATTAACAAAATGTAAGGTTTTGTTAGAAGAAACAATAAAATTCGGTGTAGGTCCCACTTTCGTCCCAAACGAACCGTAAACGACAAAACTATTTAAAGTACGGCAAGACAGATAATAACGTTAATCAGTTAAAAACCTTATCTACAAGAAAGTCAAACTGAAAATAAATCACCACTACGTCTGTACACGGACACTAAGTTGTACATAACTTTTTAGAATCGAATTCCAAGAACACTTTATAAGACCGATACGTCGAAACAATTTATTGGTCCGAGATTGTTTTCACTACACTGAGTAAACTAAAAAGTTTTTATCTTTATGATATTTTCAAACATGTTATAAAAATATCTTAATATAAAATTTGAACTTATTAAAGTTTAAATATGCTCAATCTTAGTCATATGCAGTCCAAAATGCAGCAAGCAGACTTGCGATGATGGTTCGATGTTAAGGGTGATGAAAAATTAAAGCAAATTATCATATTATGCTGATGTGCTGGTCATAGGTCTCTCCTATTGCACGCCACTTCGATAGATTTTCGGCTTAGGATATAGGAGAGGCCTATGTCCAGCAGTGGACTACGATAGGCTGATAATGATGATGATGATGCTAATGTGATTTGGGCACGAGCAATAATTAGTGCGGCACAAATAAAAATAAACAAAAGTGAGTTCCACCAGCTAGTAGACGTCGACAACCATGTAGCATTAATGATAATAAAATTGATGATATTCTGAAGAAAGGATAGGACAGCCTGTATAAAAAAGAAAAGTGTTTGGGTCTGTCAGAATATAAGCCAGAAGCCGGCTGTTGTCTCCTTTACCCGAGACGTGCAAAGCTTGAGTTTACGTACGAAATGTAGGTATGTATGTAATCATTGACCAAATGGTACTTTTAGTAAATTTACCATTTTGAAAAATTGTTCATGAAAAATCAGATAAATATGTTTGTTTTAAAATATTATGTTTAAAGTTTACTACAAGGAGCAAAAACAAAGAGGAGGTGTTGTTACTAGATTTCTATATAAAACAACGAGTGACAATTTGCGGAGTGAGGGGGTGTTAGGTTTCACCCACTTCACTATTTTCCATCTACCAAATAATACCAAAACGGCTTGCATCGTTCTATATCGATGTCGCTATTTAGTTTAGCTATCTCACACTAAGTGTTGGATGTAAGAGACGTATTCAGAATTTTCGTACCAGTGAGTTTTTTTTAAGAATGTGACTGATAATTTCGTAATAAACAGCCTAAGTACAATTTCCTTCATTTTCATGTTATAAGTACTTTATTGGATTAAAATAAGCTCCATTTTCGGCCCTGTCTTTTTGTTCTGTTTATGTATGTTTTTCTAGTTAACGATAGATGAGTATGTTCACAAAATGAATACTAAAAATTGTAATATTATTGTTTTGGCAATTAAAAGTTCTTTAGCACTGATTGCAGAACAAATTTCAGTATAAACTGACTAAACTAAGCTTTCCATACCTTTATATTTTTAGTTTAAATTACACAAAGTTAAGTCATCTAGTGACGAATAGAAGAAACTATACTTCAAAAAACACTAAGAGATTGCCAGAACTATTTTAATAAATTAAGTATAAAATTACTTACAAATGAAATGCAATGCCATCATCTACATCTTGCAACAAAACATCTATCCGAATTATTTTAAAACGATAAATACAAAATTTCATCCTTTTCTTCTTAATACATACCACGAAAATATACCGATTTGCGATTTTGCGACACAAGCGCACGGTACGGACGCTGAGTGTACTAATTTTAAGCTACGCCTACTGTTATAACGTCAGGACCTACTTAGAATCACAGTGCTTTGGCTTCTTCTCTTTGTATTTACTCCGTGGTTTAGTATAAAAAAAGATCTCATTAAAAGAGAGACTACGAGAAAAAAACTTCATCATTTTATAACATTGACTTTATTTTTATTTGGCTCATTCCGAACGCAAAATGCGACTATTTCCTCATACTTGTTTTTTTTTTAATTAGTCGCATTTGCCTGTTTTTACAGCTAATGAACAATGTATAAAAGCATGAGTAATCACGATAAAAGATGAGGTGAGGACGGGTCACACTTTCTTTCTAAAAGTATGTCGAAAGAAAAAGCTTGTGCAAAAAATTGAACTTCTAACCTAACCGTAGCAGATGCTACAGACGGAAACTAAAAGCCAAGATATTCCGATTGCAGACGGAGCAGATAATACTTTGAATACTTGATGAATACTTTACAGATACGCTAAAATCATTTAATCTATTTGGATGCAAATTATTTAACAGTTCGTCACTCGAGTTCAAATATTAAATTAGAAGTGAAATAATAAAAAAAAAAATATTATAATGTACCTAGTAAAATATTATTAGCGTATCAAGTTAATGTAATAAATACTTAGCTGTTTTTCCTGGTCTACCTTATTTTATTTTACTATCTATAAGTAAAATAAAATGTTAAATCAGGTAGTGCGCCCACTAGACGATAAAGACAAAAAGTAAATAAAATAGAAATCGTAACATCTCTATTTTATTCACGTACCGACATTTATATTTATGTTATTTGTACGTATTTTGTAAAATTATCTAATTAAAACTATCAGTATCATTCCCACCTAGATGTTCTTTTGATTTAAAGTAAGTGACAGTAGAATTGCCCAGTTGCACCTTTTAGTAATTTAGATTAAATGCAAATGCCAATGCCATCAACAATGTTTACGTCCCTGCTAAGAAGAGGCCTATCATTATGATAATAAAGACCGATTCTAAAAATAAGCAAGAATAAAGATCTATTTAATAAGAAATTATTGTAGATAATCTTTACTAATATCATAGACTAATAAAACAATAGAATGATAACCGCTAAGTTAAAAGTGTCCGACAGAAAAAGCTCGAAATTACCTCATAAGTGTAGATGGCGCTAGTATTTCTTGAACAGTTTAACATGGTTTAACCGTATTTTATTGGTATGCCTCTTTATTCCAATAATTATATTTTTGTTTTCTTAACCTAAATATTACTTACAATGAATTGGAAGAAACTTGAAAATAATGACCATTTTATTTCATTACATGTAGCTTACATGTATAAAAAAGAAGAAAGAAATATTAATCTAACATATGTATTTGTGTCAAACATATAATTGTAGTTGAAATACTCTTCAAGAATCTAATTGCAAATATAAGTTGGTTAGCAGCCTAACTCCGGCCAGCCTAACGTCAGCTGGTCGGGAAATCTCAAAATTCACGCAGAATTCATTCCGTTTATTTGTACACCCGATATACCGAAGAAGTAGGAGCCCCGCAAAACTCCCTGGACACAGGCATAACCCAAAACAAATCAGAGCTTTATTGACATGTTTTTGAAGGTTTTTCTAAACTTCAAAAAATCTTAAATCGCAACTCAAGCTTTTCCTATCTCAACAGGGTCTCAATTCTGCTATTTTATGTTAACTCCAAGCCACTGTCATTCCATTGACACGCTATTCAGACGCCATTGACATCGGTTAGAATATCAGTATTCTACTAACATCAATTCACAGTATCCCCTCAGATACCACCCACCGGTGGCTATGTCGGACTCGAACCGACTAAAAACCGCACGCCGTCTCAGGTACCAGTAGCCGGGGAACCAGGTGTACCTTAGAAAGGAAATCCCTGGTACCCCGACGTACCTCGGGCCACCTACGGCGGGTAGATGACCCCCCTCCTGTATTTGAACCCCCATGTTCCCTTTGTGCTTCCGAAATGGCGGGCGCACTCCGCAACGCGTTTCGCCGCCACCCTGGCCTGCTTCTGCTAGGGTGACAGATAGCCACCCCCAGGCCTGCGCTTATGAAGGAAGGAGGTCGTTCTGCGATCTCCGGCGCCTGTCGTTTGCGGTACCTGGTCCGTTCCCGAGCTTGGCGGGCCGGGAGAGTTTTACACCTCGCCCGGTCACGCTCCGCCATCTCCTTCGCAAGCATAACCTGCTCGCAGAAGGAGACGGCAGAGTTCCACGCACTCTAACTCTGCACCATGGCCGCAATTATGTTTTCGAGCGAGAGAACTCCCACCCCGATGGCGGCCACGAGGTCACGTCGACGACATTTGTATCAGTGACAAGTCATTGGGAGGCCATTGGTCTTACATAGTTAGGAGAATAGGAAAAGTGTAAAACTATTTCGACGACATTCCGTCGACAGTCTATTGATACGATGCAAGAGATTTAGAAAGGATGAGGATTAAGGATTACCGTGTGGTGACGGATTAAGATTACGAATTGTCCCCACCCCCATTCACCCCGTGGGTGTCGTAAGAGCCGACTAAGGGAGCAAACTACGCAGGACAACAGCACTGCAAAGAGAAGGAAAACTTGACACAAACCCTATACCAACCCGTCTGGCCAGCGTGGTATAGTAGGCCAAAACCTCCTTTCTAAGGAGAGGCCTATGTCCAGCAGTGGACTGTTAAAGGCTGTTGATGATGATGACGATGAGGCAGCCTGGGCACGTCGAAAGGGTGAGTTCGGAAAGAATGAGAGAAGTCAACCCTAAGTAGGGAATGCCTGTAGGGGTCCGCAACACAGAATATACCCTCATCAAATGGATGACGTTTCGAATAACCTACCCAGGGTTAGAAATAACCAAAACCGGGGGGTTTGTATGAAGTGATGCTATTATTAAGCAGTGGAATATCTGAGATAGATGTGAGCAGCTATTGGCTGTCTGCGCTCATCGAAGGGAGAAAAACGTGAATTTATGTTATCACGTCTTTTCTAATTCTAGTGAGACTTTTTTAAATTATGATAATTTTATATTAGTTATACGAATGTCATTTCTGTACAACTTTTCTATAAAGTAACTTTCTGGTTAACTATTACAATTCTTATTTAATTCATGCATTATAAAATTTGAAACCAGTTTTATAATATTTTTATAAAATATTTTCATATTTATATTATCATATTATCTTCTGAATTTTTTTCCAAATGCCAACGAACGAGACCCAGCAGTATCTGATAAGAGTATAGGTAATTAAATCTTCAATTGAAGTATAATCGTCCTGATACTCCAATTCATTATCATAAATTTATACTATAGTGTCAGTTTTAGAATTCAAATCTTTACCTTTAAGATTTGAATTCTATCGTAATCGATAAATTCCTTATCTTTTTAGATGTCGTTGTGTAAATGTCCTTTCATTCCTGATCGAGAATTCAAAACAGCGTCAAATGATCGCAAAGAAAATGTGTAATCCGTGTATAAATTTTCTCATTAGAGACTTGTCTTCAAACTCGTATACTTCTTTGGCTTCAAAATTTATTTCACTATGTTTTAATTAAGGTATGTGCTCTTGAATAAATGTACTTCATGTAAACATATTACCATTATAAAGAATGAGCAAACAATGACATCCAAAAGTATTGTTTATTTGATGCTGACGTCTCTTGCATAAGCCCAGAAGTAGATTTTATTTTAATCATTTATTTTTATATTGGCAATGAAAATACTCGCTGCGAAAATGCAGCAACAGCTTTTTTCTTTTAATATTGTATTTCGATTATTTGTCGGTATAGTGGTACCAGAAATACATGATTTGTGAAAAATTCATCTTTCTGTCTATTACGGTAGTTAAGATAGACCGGGTTCCGTTGGCACACCTTGGGCACCGACTCTACAGGAGTTTAAAAGCATCAGTACAAGCAAAAGATTTCCTGAAAATTTCTTCCTAGTTTATTCTGACAAAGGTTTCTCGTGCGGTGAAACAAGTGCAACCTAATTATAAACATCTGTATTTTTCTGTGACCCTCAAAAGGCACTGTGGAAAACCGTGGTGGGCGGGTTGATTTTGATATGACTAGATAATCTAATGCTCTTGACTTGACTTGAATAATCTAGATTTCCTACAAATATTAAGGAAATAGCTGTGCAAATATGTATGATATTATAAAGAACGCTTAACGTTGGTATCACTACAAATTGCCCAAATTGCATTTTTTTTTTTGTAATTCCTTTTATGGTTTTGTGATTACGACTTGAAGACGGAAAATCCTTGATTTTTAGTTATATTATTATCACTTGAATGTAATAATGTTTTGCAATATAATAAAGCTGAAATGTAATATTGTGATGTACCAACTCGTTAGCACGTTGTTGCTAGCGGTAGTTTCTAACACGCAGAAGACATAGCTAAAGTTTTTATTATCGGTTAGCGTTCCATTTTAAAATAATAGACAAGAAAACAGTATTCATTATTATGAGTAAGAAAATACTTAAAATTGCGTTTGAAAAGATTTTTTTACTTAGGAGTTGCAACTTTAATTATAAAAATATGATATGGGAGCAGAAACTTCTCCAGGCAATCTTGAAATCGAAATGATTGGATATTTCACATTGGTTCAAAAATTGCAAATATGTATTGCAAAAAACGTACTTAAAACACACAACGAGAATTATTGATTCAAGTTTCGACCAATTTCGGTTGTTAAGCCGGAATGCGTCAATAACTGACAAACATCCATACATCGGCACAAGCTTAATAATATGAAGTTGAACTTAAATACTAGCGTATTACATTTAAATAAAAAAAGTAGATATAAAACTATAAATAAGGGCCAATCTAATTTAGATTTCTTTCTAGAAAGTTCTAGTAATAATAAACCCATGATTCTAGAGATAATTATATTATAGTAACATATGTTTAATGTCACTTACCACTCAAAGGCGTTATAGTGATAATAGCAGAGCCCCAGACCGTACAGAAAGAGAGGATCCTTCCAGTTATCCGGCTCTAGTGCGTAAAATTTTTGATACGCTGACATTGCTGCAAAATAAAGAAAATATTACCACTCATTATTTTATTTATAGACATTAATTAAGTGTATGGTGTGTAACGCGTGACACCGCAATCCTCTAAAGAAAACCTGTTTGTATTGTCTCTTAAAAAATAGCTGTAAACATTGTTTATAATGATATCCTGTAGTACAGTCTTGTCATAATAATAATATTCTTCTTAATCACCCCAAACTGACACCATATTAGTATCTACATTGCACCCGTGCGAAGCTAAGGCTGGTCGCTAGTAAGAAATATACCTTTACCTACTCCAATTGTTGTCATTGGCTATATTTTCTACTAGCTGACCCGCGCAACTTCGTCTGCGTCTCTCAATAGTAATAAATTTTCTCCCTTTTTGAAACATTCTTCATTGGTGCTCCGCTCCTACTGGTCTTAGCCTGATGATATATAGCCTATAGCCTTCCTCGATAAATGGGCTATCTAACAGTGAAAGAATTTTTCAAATCGGACCAGTAGTTCCTGAGATTAGCGCGTTCAAACAAACAAACAAACAAACTCTTCAGCTTTATAATATTAGTATAGATTTAATACTATCTGATACCCGTGACTTCGTCCGTCTAGAATTCGATTTAAAACTGTTTATGTTTGTATTTAGAAATGTATAAAAAATGGATTTTATCCCTAATTTCATCGATTTTTCTTCTCGAACCCTAAATATTTTCGTCTAGAAAATTATCCTAGGTTACTCCTATACTCAGATACCCGTCAGTAAAATCTTATTAGAATCGGTCCAGCCGTTTCGAAGAAGAGCCGTAACAAACGGACTGTGTGCCTGACAGACACAAATTTGAAAAACTGATTTTTAAGCAAATAATTATGTGAGCTTAAAAAAACTATTACTTAGTCATTCCGAACAGATATTTCAATTTTCTTTTTTTTGTATAGATAGTGTTTTCCTTATTTAATCCTTAAAGTGCCTTGATATATTTTTAACACAACACTTCTTATTCCCAGTGAGCAACTTGGGGCCTACGATACTAACAGAAAGATTTACAGATTTACAGAAAGATCTCAAAACTCTTGTATTATGTAATTTGTGAAGATCCAGTTGAAAAACACAAGTACCAGGCGCCCTTTGTTGTAAGACGGTAAATTTAGTCTTATGGCAGAGTAAAGGAAATAGCACGAAGCATTACAATGGAAAGCATTTCGAAGCTGAACAGGAAATGTTAAAACCATAAATGTAAATTGGACTGTGTTGCAAACAGTCATAAAATATAGATTTCCTTATAATTAGAATATATTATAATAGATACGGTACTAACAATTACTCGGTACAGTACTTGGCTAATTTAACATGTTTGTACATCTGTTCAAAATACTTAGTAGACTATTCTTTAGTCGCAGCCCTTATAAAATTATGCATCTGCCTAACCAGTGTGCCCCTAATACTATAACAAATGATTGAATTTTAACAAACTTTAGTAGCGTATTCAGTTGTTTTTTAGTTTTTACGATTCGTATAACGTATAACTTCATTTACGATCATGAATGTGATAAGAATGTTACGCAAGTTCTCAGAAATAGGTAGATAACATTGAAAATTGAAACTGTATCCTCGGCAGGGTAACACTAACACATAAAAAACAATAACGTATTTATAGAATAAACTAATACAGAAATCATCTGATGGGTCGGGTTCAAATAACACATAGTTGCTAGGGAAAAATGTAATCTGTATAGCTCTAATTATAAACATATAATAAAAAAAACTACAGTGTCTAATGTTACAAAAAATTGGGTACTGGATTTAAATTCAATTAGATTATGGTTTATTATGACTATGCACCGCCAGCGTAGTGGTTTAAACGGTCACCTCGCCGCTTCCAACCGCGATGAGTGTTGTGGGTTCGAGCCCCACAAGGGACAACACTTTGTGTGATCCCCTAATTTATTGTTGTTCTGAGTCTGGTCTGAGTATGTTATTTGTGTCTGTTTCATGTATGTTTGTAAAGTCCCCCGCGACACAGGATTTATTCCTAGTGCGGGAGTTGTCTTTTTTAAGAAAGAAAGAAGGAATAGCGTTCCAATTCTCACAAAAGTTTTGCCAAATAATAGTGAGAGTGGTCAATGGAACTCTCCTTCTGCTCAATAACATAATAATTAATCATAAATGATTCAAACAAGAAAGCAGTTCAATATCTTTGATAGATTGCTGTGCTGAGCTTAATGCTTAAAAAAAATTATATATATATATTATAAATATTGTATAAAATAGTTTCATAAATGTTTGCAATGTGTCAATTTAGTTTTGGAAATGCAGAACCGAATTTTTTTTTTGTTTAGTTTGATATTCAAATTCATAATCTTAGTATATTTATTGTTAAACGCCTATAACTTCTTCCTCCAAAGTCTGATTGGAAGTAAAGTACTTAACACTGACATTTATAAAAAGTCAAAGTTAAGTTAAAGATTTTTTTTAGTTTTGCGTGGCGACGGATTAAGAATACTGACCCACCACACCTATTTATCTCGTCAATTTCATAAGAGCCGGCTAAGGGAGCAAACTAAGCAGGACAACAGCACGGCAATGAGAAGGGAAACTTTGATTCAAACCTCATACCAATCCGTCTTGGCCAGCGTGGTATAACTAGGCCAGAACCTCCTTTCTAAGGAGAGACCTATGTCCAGTAGTGGACTATAAAAGGCTGTTGATGATGATCATGATAAAACTTTTATACAACGAAATTTACGTGTATATTAGTAGTACAAAAGTATAGTATACGTAAATATTTATAGCATAAAGAAACCCATGATTAATAAAATTATTTTGGAAATACCCTTTAAAGGAATTGAATAATATTAACAGAATTATATGAATACATTTAAAATATGTGATAAATTATTTTACATGAAATATGAATCATAATATATTGCTATGATTCACTACTAACAAAGACAGGAAATAATAATATATGAAATGTATTACAAAGTTTTAGCAGATTTCGAATATATATATACCTATATATTGGAAATCTGCTAAAACTTTGTAAACTAAAATACATATAATAAGTGTATATAAAATCTATTATTCATAACTTCGACCAGCAGTCGATCTCTAGTAGTAGCGGAGTCTAGTATTTACATGTATACTTATATCTTCTACAATCTAATAAAGTTTGTACAGCATCAGTTCAAGAAACGAATCTACTCAATTTTATTTGATTTTTATAAAACAGGTACAGAAACAGATAACAGATTGTGTAACATAAATAATAGCATTTTAACATACATATTATGAAACTGACATCCTATTGTATATGTACACATAATTTAAACGTTAACAGCTTCCTAGAGATGAAGACAAATACATAAACAAATGGAGATTAGAAGAAGTGAATACAATAATCACATAGGTAACTAAACGCTAAGTTAAATTATCACATATGACTTTTTTGAAGTTAATTTATTTTTCATTAAAGCTATCCAATCCCGAACAAATATCGTTATACTGCCTACACATCCTCTTAAAGTGGGCTATTTTCAGAGACATTATTATTACTTGAGGGTACAGTGAACAATTGTGAAATGCGCACAGGACGCTTAGGTATCTTAAAATGTATCTGTGTGATGAGGTCACAGTCCAGAGAACCATTAACAAATTGTGTAGGGAACAGAAGTCGCTCATCCTGTCCTCCTTATCTCTAAGCTTACCATCTGTCCTCATATATCGGTCTTTTATGCCTCAATCCACATTACACGGTTAAAGCTCTAAGGAATCGTTTTTGAATCGATTCTAGTCTGTCTATATGTATGACATTCATCATCATCATCATGTCTTTAATAGTCCACTGCTGGACATAGGCCTCTCCTTAGAAAAGAGGTTTTGGCCTACTGTACCACGCTGGCCAGACGGGTTGGTATAGGATTTGTATCAAGTTTTCCTTCTTTTTGCAGTGCTGGTGTCCTGCGTTGTTTTGCGCCTTTAGTCGGCTCTTACGACACCCACGGGATGAATATGGGTAGTGACATTCCGTATTCTTAATCCGTTACTACAAGGACTTTACATTCATATTATAATATACAATCATCCTAATTCATTTTGAAACGTATATGACAAAAGGTTTACTGAATTAAGCCCAGTAAAGTCTGCTTACTCGGTTAAAGAAATATAAAGATAATCAATTAATCAGACGACATTACAGGAAACGCATTGTTTTTTACCTACAACGAACAGAAATAATATATCAATAATCAACCTACCGGTTGTAAAACCGCTATCATCATCCTGTCATTGTTGTGTGAGTTTAATTGCTATCTAAAAGTTAATAATGTATTCGTGGTTTTGGTGCTAGCAACGGTTTCCATGTTGATTCTCGGATACTGTAAAATTATTAAATATAAATTGCATTGTACTTATTAGAATCGAGCTGTTACGTCCAATCTCAGCTCTGTCAGCAAATATTTGGATGGGGGAAGAATTGAAATCAAGTTGAAATAAAATTGTTTTTTTTCACTTCTCCAATAATTGTGTGGCGACTTCCACATACCATGAAACATAAACATACTACAACGCCATCTGACGAAGACACACCGAACTACGGACTAACTACTAATCCTGTATTGCGATATGAACAATTCTCTCGCCGATTAGCATATATACAACTCCCCAACATCATCCGTTGGGCCGCGGCCTCGTGACACACGGAACATGATATTCGTTTCTCACAATTGTATTTTTTAAATTCATCATTATCGATCATTAATCTTGGTACAAGCATAACAAAGAATATTACACAGAAAAATAAAATAAGGTAGGTATTTAATTCTTATCAATCTTTATGAGGTAAGCGGCAATGTTACAATCTTAAATAATACTTACTGAGTATTCTTGTTTGAAAATACTCTTATTACTGCTACAGCTACTTTAGTAGTAATTTTTTTGTTAAGGTTTTTGATTTACATTTTTTTTTACCAAAACTTAATCTTGTCAAAACTTTAATAATTTGTTTGACCCGAAGTCCATATTTCCGACAACATTAATAATTTTGGTTCGTCTAAATAACCTTATTTGGACTACAATTAACATATTAAATAAAAAAGTTAGTCGGTCCAGACGTTTTCACGGTTTGAGCTTAAATCCTTTAACTTGACCCTACAGTTTAATAATATAGATTACCAAGACTTTTTAATAGTTACTGATTATTACGTCTACATAATTGTAACTACCTTTTACATATGTTAAGTGTATACAATAAAGATATAAATAAATAAAGTAAATAATTATGGCTATGACGTATATGCATTATAAATTGTTTCTGCGTGTCTAGCTTTAAAATTAGGATATATTTACTGTCAATATATTTAGAGTTGCCAAAGTTGACAACATGTGAATTCAAAGTTATTGTTAGAAATTAGAAACTGTAAGTTACTGTGATTAGATCCATAATTAAATTTAAGAATGTAGATAAAATCACAAAATCTACTTTTTTCTCTGAGAAGCCATTTTTCTCATTTTATTCTAGTCGCTATTGGCATGTCTGTTGTTTGGAATATGCAATGCAAATAGAGAACATATTAATTATTATTAATATTTGATAATATAATTTTTTTTTTTTAAATTTTGATTTTCTTATCCTTCTTATTCTAAGTGTCCTTGTTTGATATACTTTATTTTAAATGTATTTTTTTTCTTTTTTTGTTATGGCAGAGGGGCAAACGAGGAGACGGGTCACCTGATTGAAATTGACTACAGCTGCTCATGAACGCCTGCAACTCAGGAGTCACAAGCGCGTTGCCGACCTTTGAGTTAGGAGGACGCTCTTTTCTTGAAGGTTTGAAGGTCGTATCGGTCCGGAACTAGCCCAGACGATAATTTGTTTGTTCCACAGATTGGACGTGCGAGACAAAAAGTTTTTGCCAATTATCTTGGATTGAAATTTTGCCGTGTGGAACGGCAAGAACGGCAAAGTGATATATATAAAACAGAATGCACAGTGAAGCTACATCTGGACGTAACGCTAAGGGATCGAGCCGATCAGAAATCTTTTGGCTATCGACGATTCGAGTTGCTCCTCGTTGGATGCGGTCCAGAGAGAGAAGCTGGTACTGGGGTGCCACTGCTCCATATGCGGCCGGACTTGAGCCTCTATAGAGTGAGTTAGAGTTAAATACCGTCTCGATCTGTTCAGCACATCAAGATTGTAAAGAAGGAAGACATGTTCCGATTAAGCATGGAATAAAATAGCCTGATTGAAATTGACAAAACAAAAAAAAAAATAGCCGGCAAATGGCCTTCACGGCTCTAATGACAGGCCATTACTCTTTTCATGAAATTTTCCATGATTTTTACACAGAGATATGGCTGATCTCTGACTTGAGCTCAGGAATTGTTTCTGATTTATTCGCATAAACCTGAAAATTCACAAAACCCCAAAGAATAATCGCACGGCGTTAAATCGCACGATCTTGGTAGCCAGTTAACTTCTGATTTTCGTGAGATAATGTGTTCTGGAAATCGTTGCTGCAATAGGTCGATTGTTTCATGCGCGGTGTGGCAAGTCGCGACGTCGTGCTGAAACCACGTGTTGTCCAGATCCATGCCGTCCAGTTGAGGCCACAAGAACGCCGGTATCATATTCCTGTAACGAATACCGTTTACAGTCACTGCAATCTTCAAAAAGCAAGGCCAAAATCCGCACCAGACAGTCGCTCGTTGTGGGTGCATTTGTTTCTCATGGATAACATGAGGATTTTCTGAGCCTCAAATTCGACAATTTTGTGTATTCACGTAGCCTTACAGATGGAAATGCTGTTCATCGGAGAAGATTACTTTTTTCGAAAAATTAGCATCGACTTCACTAGCTCTTTCCATGGTCTGCTGGTTTCAGCTCCTGAGTTAGCTGAATCTTGTATGCATGAATGGGGTGGTCTTTTGTCAAAATTCGATGCCGAATTGATGTTTTCGGGTTTTCGGCGACACTCGTTTACAGCAGCAATGTTTACAAGAGACCGACCGCTACGTTGACGCAAAGGATTCTTAATATCCATAATCGACCCAGTTTCTTCAAAGTTTTTGCCCACTCTCGAATGGTTGACACATTAGGTGCACTTTCTCGCCTGAAAATTTGGAGAAGTTTGCCAGCGGTTTCAGCCTAACTTTCTCCATTTTTCATTCACAATTATAACGCGTTGTTCTTTCGAAAAGCGCTCCATTTTTAATAATAGGAATAAAAATAGGTGACAGCTGTCAAATTTCAGAAGTAAAACTTGCACGAAAAAAAATGTTTCCAAATTTAAAAAGTGCACTCTTACTGAGACACCCTTTTATTATCTTACACAATAATACTAACCTCTAGCTAACTGATATTAGAATCTGAATAACTAAATTAACTTGCTTCCTCGCAGCCTTTTTCCCAATCTACTTTTGGGTCGGCTTTTAAGTCCACTACGATACGGCTTTTTTTACGCGGAGCGACTGCCAACAGACCTCCACTGTTCAAAGGTTGTTGTCGGACCTTTTAGGGCTCCAACTACCCGTAACTTTTGCCACAGATGAATGAATGATAACTTGATTTAACTGTCTGTAAAAACCATGCCCCATGACCACATAACAAATACCATATTGGAGACCCCTGAGGGTTTCCTGAGTTGTTCTCGCATAATTTTTACATTAATAACACATATTAACTAAAGATTAATCAACGCCAGATTCAGCATTTACAAAGTTTCAAAAATATTTCTTGAATTATGGATATATTGATTTTAAAAATTAGCTTCCTGAACTACTTCCACATATAAATTTTAATGTGTCATATTTCACATTCTATCTGTGCACAAAAACTTGTCTAATTATATAGATATAAACTGGAAAAGTACGGTTAAGACTTGAGCATAAAAGATTTCGTATCATCTTACTATTGCGGTCGCCCCAAAGTTAAGACATCTGGAACTAATCGACTATTCGACAAAAAGTTTGTATATACATATATTTGATGACCTGACCCTGAACTTAATCTTGAATCCTAACCCATAACAACCTTTAAATTTATATAGATTTAATAGGTACTAATAATTTTTTTAAATACGGGTAATAAAGATTGGACAAAAATGGAAAAAAGCGTTCATTAAAGTACATCACTTTCGAGCTTTCTGGGGAGGTTTCTTGAAAGATCTCACTTAAAATTTAGAGTCAGTAACACGCATGCGATTTCGTTCACTTCGAAAAGCGATATAGATAAACGTTGTTTTTACTTTATATTCTGCACTTACGAGTATAACACTATGGACTCATTCCAATGTTGCTCAATCTCACCTTTAGCGTAATCCTCTAACAGGAGGTGAAAGTGTCCCAATTTGCAATATGTTTTTGGATCTATGCAAATATCTCTTCTGGCACCTGGTGAACACGCCCTTTCTTCCTCCTGATGAAAAATATGTTTGTATTTATGATAAAACAAAAACAATTATGTAAATAGAAACAAACGGGCTTATTTTTCTAAACAAATATTTGCACTGAGCAGGTAAAATCGCAACACTTTTATATGAAATACTTACTATTATATTAGATATTATGAATACTTTTAAATATATCCTATTGATGTTATCTAAGGAACCTAGTGTGAGGTTATTGATGACCATGTTTGGCGTTGCGATTGGCCCGCACTTAACTCTTCACCAATTGCAACGTTGAACGCGGTCACCTTGAGGATCGATTTGATGTTAAATAAACTCAGACTAGGTCCCCTGAATGGATATTTAAAGCCTTAGGCTTTAATAAACAAAACAGGAATTAGAAATCTGCTATAATCAACGACAATGTTTAACCATTTACACCTGTTGCACCAAGATCTGCTAATATCAAAAATTGCTCTGGCCGCAGTTCAATTACTATGACAAGCCAAACTTAAAGTGCTTAAAGATGAGTCACCGCAGATGAGCCTCAGTTTTTTATAAATAAATAAGTTTCTGAGCCATGAGCTAAATTCATCAAGAAATAAATTTACTTCTACAGTTATACTATAAAATACTTGAAAGAAGAAATTACCTTCACTTGAACCAACATGCCTTCAAGATATTTGACAGCTTTGAGAATAAGTGCCCTTCTTCTAGCATGTTCAGTGCCACGCAGCTTCAGAACACCAAACTGGCGGCTGAAATTATTGAATTTTTTTTTCATTACTCAATAAAAATGTATATACAAATTCAATACAATTATTTACATAGCATTTCAAGGTGGGGATACACTGGGAATGGTGACAAGGGAAGTTTGATTGCAATGTACTTGCTCGCTAGCAATCTTCATACTGCTGTCCTACTATGACTACCATTTAGCATTACCGTTGAAATATTGAAGAACTATTAGACATGGAAATTATTGCTACTTTTAAATCATATTTGTATGGTGAAATAATTAGTTTTAGTTACAGAAAGTTTACATGTGATTGTGATTTGGTCAAGAACAAATATAAATGCCATCAACATCAATCAAAATTCTTTTTATTAAAGATTATGACCATTTATTACTTATTATCTCAGTAAAGAATGAAATATCAACATACTTTTTTTTCCAAATATATCTTTGATATGTTACATTATATATTATATTATATTACAGTCAAAGGATGTGAGAAATATAAATATTTAAAAAATAATATTACAGTACAACAGATATGTAAGTCAATAATTTAAAAATAAATGAAAAGAAAACAATTTAATTAATTTTCTTATATTGCTTTATGCAATACAAAAACCCAATAGACCTGTTGATTTATTGGTTAATGATGCTGACTGCTAAGTCAACGGTTGTAGGTTTGATTCCAACCCTTGCCCCCTATTACATGAATGGGACTAAAATCATAATTGCCAAAATGTGGGTTTATATTACACCTCTTCTAATCCACCTTCAGCGATAACATATATGTGTATAAAAAAAACATTTTAAAACATTTAATTACTATAAAGTAAGTAATTAAATGTTTTAAAATGTTTGTCTGTTTGTATTCTAATATAAAACAATTATCCCTAAAAGTAGAACAATAATTAAAAGCATATCCATGTAATAAAGTTACGAATAAACATTGTACCTAAAAATATTTTATGGGTATACACATTTACGTAATTAAACAGTTGGATGTCAGGGACTTTTATTTGACTATATAATTTAATCTTAAACTTTATGATTTTACTAATCTGAATCTTATTACAATTCTGTTTAAATTTTACAAGCATCACTATTATTCTCGTCTATAATAGACAATAATAATAAATGCGTATGACTTGTGTCAATACGAAACTGAGTAGGTACGTAAATCTATTTTTATAGTTGTGTAGTTTTACGCATACAAAATTTTATACTATAGTATTTAATATATTAATTTAAATATAAATTTAAGAGCATAATGCGAATGCACTGATGGCAAAAATGCAATCTTCTTATTATACTAACAGTTTAGAACTACAATCTTGCACAACAAACAGAAAGGGGCACATATGAAAACTGTAATTCAATCACAATATACAGTAATAAGATAAAGAAAACGCTTACTTCTACGATCAAAAAAGCAAATAAATAGTATTTCGAGTTGTTTTATTATTACCTGTCAAGTTCAGACAAAACTTGTAACTCCGGAGAGGTTAGATGCAATTCTTCTTTTTCGTCCATTTTCACAAAGAATATAAAGGCAATGGAAAAAATGTGTCAATTTCAGAATTTTAACATATTTAATAATTATACACTCTGTATTATATTAATAATAACACGCAAACAAGGCGCGGTACCACACGAACTAGTGACGTAACTGAACAACATGATACGTCAAAGTCCAAATTAGTACATTCTTGTCAAGCTAGAATCGACTAAAACAAAATAATATCGAGATCAACATGGATTGAAGAATAATATTGTATTGTGATCTGTAGGTTTTTTAACCTGTGATCCGTTCTTTGATAACAGCCTCCAATCAAATATTTCTTAAAAGCTGTAACATCTTCGCCACTGCTAAGAGTCTGGTATAACAATAATCAATAAAATGCCGTTTCTATACTTCGAAGACGTATCGACATTCTGCATCACAGACAAACGAATGGTCTATAATACAATTATCTCACACGTAGCAGTCTGATCTCAAACTAGGCAATGCCTGTTCCTCGATGTATCAGGTTCAGGGTAAATGAGAAATTCTGCATAAACAAATCGTACGTAGGGACAGAACTTATGACAATTTTACTAATTTGTTTACTTGTTGTGATTTTGGAAGGAAGGTTGCAAGTAAAGGTAGATTATGAATTAATATGATACAGTCGACAACGTATTAAGATGAGACGATGAGAAAGTCGGTTTCTTTATAAAATTAATAAACTCTCGGAGTCTCTCTTTGAGTCCATATATGGTTCGAATAGCTTTCATTAACGGTACAAAAATAGTTTAAATGTCATAAGCATACCCCAATCAAAATAAGGTATATATGATTTTAAGCTGTGTCTTTTTTTAACTTCATATGCAACTAAACTAAGACTGCTAGAGCAGTGATGGGTGGGACCTATGGCAATTTCAAATCTAGGTTGAATCCTAAGAACACAGTGGAATTTAGGAATTCAATTCGATTTTCATTTATTCAATTGTAAACTTTAAACATTTAGTTTTTATAGGTTTAAGTAGCAGGTTATTAGTAAAACACCAATCCAAACTGCTTCCTATGCCTATATAGATTTAAGAGGTGGGCTAGATTAACGGGGGGCAATTATAAAAAAATTGGCCGAGTCTAAAGTAGTGTTCCCGAGGACTATAGGCTTTTAGCCTTTTTTTAAGGCTAGACTCCTAATTAAGGGGCTTGATAGGCTAAAAGCCTATAAAGACTTTTAGTCCGTTAGACTAGGCTCATTCAAGCCTCTTGGTAAGAGGTCCAAAGTCTTGCAAAGACAACTTGGATTAGGACAAACAACACACAATCGTGGGGAAATAATGTAAATTGCCACAGAGTTCTATAAAAACCTATACAGTGAGAGAACACAATAGACAAAAAATAAAAAGTAGGAAGAATTAAACAGTCACGAACACCTAGAAAATAACTTTAACCCTATCGACGACCGACGAAACCCTAAAGACATCGGCAATTACAGGCCAATAAGTCTTTTATCAACTCTTTATAAACTCTTCTCTTCCATAATAAACCAAAGAATAACTAAAACTTTAGAAAAAAGGCAATCCATAGAGCAAACAGGTTTTCGTTAAGGATTTTCAACAATAGACCATATACATACTCTGGAACTTATTATCGAAAAATACCAAGAAAACCAAAGAAGCTCTACATAGCCTACAGAGACTGCCAGAAGGCTTTTGACACAATAGTATTTACAAGTTTACATTAAAGTAATATAAAGTATATACAAAAATAGCGTAAGTAGAGTCAAACTGGAATCAACTGGCCCAAACTTTAACATCAATAGAGGAGTGAGACAGGGCGATTGGAGTATTAGAAATAATCATCAGTAAACTAGACTGGGAAAAATGAGGCTTGTATATCAAAGGCAAATAATAGGTATTTACCTATGAAATTGCCGTTTTGTATGCAATAAGTGAAAGTACTTATTTTTTAAACTTTTTTATTTCTGTTATTTGAAGTAATCACCCATGCAATCGACGCATCTTTGCCAACGCATTGGCAGTAACATAGCTCTGTCACTGGACTGACAGTGGCTTGGCGTAAACATAAAATAGCAGAATTGAGGCCCAGGAATGGTACAATCGCTACACGATGTAAGCAGACTAGTGGGTTTAGAAATAAACTTATTAAAAACAAAAATCATGACAAACAGCTATAAAAGAAACAAATCACTAGAACACAAAGTAATACAGTACGTGTCTATCTAGCAAAACAGATATCATTTGACAGGAATTGCAACGAACTAGAGGTAGAACGCAGATCAAGAATTACCTGGAACAAGTTCTGGAGTTACAAGGAAGTGATGAAAAGTAACATGCCAATAGAAGTGAAACAGAAGGTAATGGATTCGTGCATTTTACCATGTCTTACATAATGGATGTCAAACGTAGAAATTTACCAACAAAATCAAAAACAAAATAATAACGTGCCTGAGGGGAATGGAACGCAGAATGCTCAAAATAAGAAAGTCACACAGAATCCGTCATACAAAAATAAGAAGCAAAACCAAAACAATTTGATGTTCTCAAATATGCTCAAAGACTGAAATTCAAGTGGGCTGGCCACGTGGCACGGCTTAAAGATCATAGATGGACATCTGAAGTAACTAAATGGGATCGTATCGATATTTAAAATAAATATACAATACAAATAATAATAACAAGAATTACTTATATATTGTTTACCTTTATTTTTCATTTCATTGCTAATTATTTAAATTTTCTATTATTACCGAATTGAATTTTATTGTACTCTTAATTTAAATTAAACAAAACGATTGCCATAATAATTTATGATTGTTTTTTATTTAATATGAAGTTACATGGAATAAAAAATATATACTTAATTATAATAATATTTAACAATCAAGCATATCATGTAAAACGAATATTTTGTAGTTGCATGGAATAAAAGGCTTTTTTTTTATTCATATGGTGGCTTACTTAGATTGAGTCTCAAAAATAAATTTTTACATAAGCCTACTACCTACTTGAAAAAAGGCTCCGCTTGCTAAACAGGCTAAAGGCTTTTATAGGCTCATAGGCTTTTTAAAATGACGAGTCTTTAAAAACCCCTCTTTATTAGCATAGGTCTAAAAATGGGCTTAAATTTAGGCCCAAAAACCTATTAGCCCTCGGGAACACTAGTCCAAAGTGTTGGTAAAATAGCTAGTTAAATAGCTCTTGCCAAGTTAAATAGGTCTGTTGCTGTTTCTTTTTGTGGACTGAAAATAAGGAATAATTATAATGAAGGATAAAACATACAAAATTCTAGAAGCATTTCAAAAATGTTTTTTTTCTAGCAATAAATAAAGCTTTATTCTTATAATGATTTAAATCTGCGTAAATTTTGATCATGATGATTAAATGACATTTCTGAAATCAATTGCTTCCTAAAGGCTCCGGCTTCATTTCCGGTTCCGATTCCGTTTCTAATGTATCAAATTGAAAAACTACAAGATGTCGAAAATTCAACATAAAAAATTTGAATTACGCTTAACTCACATCCTTAAAATATCTAAAATAAATAAGCTTGTACTAAATAATGACTTTAACATGATTAAGGTTGAACTTCTTTTAAATTCTATATTTCGGGTTTATTATTATTTTGAGTTTAATATTGACAATGCAAATCACTAGGAAAAAGGACAATTCTTGCCTGGCAATTTTAAGTACTCAACCACAGTTACATTTTAGTTTATGCTGGCAAATCTGGCAATACTGCACACAAAGTTTAATTACCTAATTCGTTTTACTCTATCTGTGGCCTGTGCTACCGCTAGGAGTATATGTGTTCTGTGATCTGTGCTGTTAAAATACGATTTTGTTGAGAGCACAGTGTTTACTCCTACAAAATAAAAAAAACACATTACCTCAAAGTTTGTATTAGATTATTCGATAAAGAGAACACAAAATCTTTAACATGAGTTTCAGGGATTCGGTGAGTATATTCATTTATTACGCCTTATTTACACATTTTATATATAAATGTATTTGAATCTTTGGATGTATTTCTGATCGTTTCTGGATTTTTATTGATTTGAAAAGAAAATTCAATTTTATGTTTATAAATATAGAACTGACTGTTCCCTAGATCTATTTTTAGACTATTATTAGTCACAGATTCAAGGTCGATATATCCGTATTAAGAAAGGGATATCGGCTTTCGTAATATAGCTCTTGTGTAACTTAATCTTGGGAATTGATATATGATTTAAAAATTAGTGGAATTATAAGTACCAAGATCAACAAATTTTTTTCAGCTTTCATACTCACGGTATTCCCGAAGACCAATTTCATATTCTAATGTATGTACCTACTATACTATCGTTTTAAGATATTTTTATGATGATGGCATTAACAGATTTTGGTGTTCTTTTTTTATGTAACAGTTCATTTTCATTCCACTCTTCACAACTATAAAATATATTGTTAATAATATATTTCACTGAGTTTTTTTTAATATGTGGCACAATAATTGTCATTATTCTATCAGTAAATTATTGATTGATTTTATTTTTACAGTCAAGTCTATAAGGTATATATTTTCATTCTAACCAGTTCAGTTGTTTATCTCTGTTACTCAAGCTTAGCTTTCTAAGGAGAGGCCAATGTCCAGCAGTGGTCTTTTAAGGGCTGTTGATGATGAATCAAGCTCAACAATACTTCAACAATTACAATATATATTTTCTTTATTTAAGAGTTATTAGATAATAGAGCTTAACCGTTGAAATATTAAGTTACTTTTGCAATGGGGATTATTTGTCTTAAATTTCTCCTAAAAAATAAATATCCATGAGTGTCAGTTGTCACATGTGAAAGTTAAAGTAGTCTCAAGTACACATATAATTGGAATGTGAACTATTCTGGTCAAACTTTAGTGTCCCTATGTATTTAACACTTATCCAGTCTTATAGGCCTTGACTGATCCACAGCCTGTGTGTACAAGTTTCAAAGTATCTATGTTTACCTGTTGTCAGAAGTGTCTTGTAGCTTTACCATAAATGTGGAAGCCACATGTACTTTATTGGACTGTAGAAAAACTACTGAACATAATATAATTATGTAATTCAGATATTTTCTAGCTAGCCACTATGGGACTGCATAGGCAGTGCATTTCAATTGTTGGGGTACAAGGTGTAATAATGTAATATATCTCACACATCTTACACACAGCTGTCTGATCCCAAACTAGGCAGAGCCTATGTTATGGTAACCAGACTGCTAGACTACTTAGAGGAGAGTACCGTCATGTACGAGGACCAGATGGTGCTTTGAGGCGTTGGCCGCCGCCGATGACACTAGTTACAGCCCGGAGGGCGGACTTTCATGAGGCCGCGCGCCTAGCCACCGGGGCGCGCCTAGTCGCTCTGGACTTCGGGCGCATTGAGGCGCTGGGCTTACGGGTGGCCCTGGATAAGACGGGTCCCGTCGTGGTCCGCCCTCCGGCGCCTCCATCGTGGTCGATTCGGTCCTCGTACCGCTTCAGGGCCACTTTCAGCAGCACTTCCGACAGCTTGTTCCAAAGATGGTCGGCGCTGCTTCTGCCCTACTTGCCCAACGGCGACTTTTACCCAATTTGGGTGGAGCAAGAGCCGCGACAAGACGGCACGTACACGGGGGTTGTCCAGTCAATGACACTGTACGGTGCACCGGTGTGGGCGGCGACTCTGATCGCCCAGAATAGGGCACGCCTCTGGCAGCCTCAAAGGATAATGGCGGTTAGAGCCATACGCGGTTACGTTCGGTGGCAGCGTGCGCGTTAGCCGGAACACCCCCGTGGGATTTTGAGACGGAAGTGCTCGCCGAAGTATATAGGCGGACGGCTGAGTTTCGGGCGGATAGCGGCATTCGGGCCCCGCCCGAAGAGATACTCGTCGTCCCAGCTGGAGGCTCCATGTGTTAGCTTTGGCAAGGCTTTTTCCAAGGCAGAGCGGCAGCACGGGACCATTACCTTCCGGCTGACGCAGCTCCTTTCCTTCGCCGGCGAACCGGGCGGCGGAAGCACGCTTACCACCGCCTTGAGTGTGACCGCAGGTGGACGGGACGGGTTTTCCCCTTCACCTGCCATAACCGCCAGCCGCGAGTAGGCGACGTCCGCGTGTGCGAGACGTTGCCTAATTGGAGAATGTACCCGAAAGGATGGCGCTAGGAGGGGTGCGGATGTGTTAATAATAGCTGTTCCACGATCTCTCCTATAACAAAAGACTGGACTTCTGGCTTTTAATCAATAAAGGAAAATCTCAAGACTACCTTAATTCTGAACCATCACCTTTCTGCTTTGGAAATAGACAGCATATAATTGATTTACTGCAAATATAATGTTGGTGACGGCTCAGAACCTCATTGCAAATTTTTATATCAATGCAGTCTTAGCCAATACCTCACATCACCTATTACAGATTTAATTCATTTGTCTTAAAAAAATCTGGCAAACAAGTACTTAATTTCTACAAAGAAAAAGTTTCATACCGGATCAAATCTAGGGTCTTGCATTTACAGTAGTGTGAGAGACAACTTCCGATGTCGTGTAACCTAATAAATTAAGTCCTTCTCTGCAGATTGATCATGTACTCCATTACTTTTGAAAGTCGGGATGTGATACCAATAGGCCTAGTCGGCTCCGATCGGTTGAGTTGGTATTTTTATGCATTAAATTTTCTAGTGGTAGAATTAATTAGCTGCTGTAGTCAGTGGTTATGTTACATTTTAGTTTCTGTTTAAATGGACGTGTTTATTTAAACGTGTAAATAAGAAATTCTATACTTATACAACAACTGAACTAGTCGGAATAATATGAAAATAATAATAAGACAACCACAGTAGGTTATTGTAAAATGGACTTTATAGTTTATGTTAATTTCTTAATTAACCCAAAAATAATAACAGGGAATAAGGCTATAGCATTAACTAATTGTTTAATATTCAAAATTATTTTTCTTCATAACATCCTAAAAAGTCAATCTTGTTATGTTTTTAAACTAAACTAAGCAGCTGTGTACATTTCATAAAATAATACCATTCACGTAAAACTTAATAGTAGTACGTCCCGTGTAACACAAGTATTTATTGAATCTTTCACTGGTGCTGTAAGATTTTTATATGATCTGAAATATAAGTATTTTACGGAAAACCATTCGTTAAATTGAAAGAAATGAAATTAAATCCGATTACACTGACAAGTATTCCTTGATTTGAATAATTTGAATTGAAGATCCACGAGGATCTAAGTATTTAGTATAAAATGTTATTTTTTAAGAAGTAAACACAGATTAAGAAAAGGTTACTGAATACCTTCTGTCGTCATATCAATCGATTCCGATTTCGAACCATGTTTACAAGTTTGTGTTCGAGACTTTAAAAAACGTCTCACGCACAAGTTGTATAACTTATTCCACTCAGAACGAGGAGAGTTCCTAAAACGCTTTAATACCGTAAGCTATATGCACAAGATCCGTCAGATCATCGGCATTAAATCGTCTAGGGTGCTTGGAACGATTTAGAATTGGATCTCTTAATCATATCAAAATTCATTGTTATAGGTAATTGATAATTAAAATTCTAAATGATTAGTACATCATAGCCATTTTCATCTGAGTGTAGAACCAGGTCATAAAACTCATTTCATCCCAGCTAAGTTGAAGAACTCAGAGCCATGTCATTTCTCCCAAACTTCATCAGATAATGAGTTGAAGTATATTTACCAAAAACCATTTAATATTAACATCAATAGCAAATTGTTGCACACCTTCGGTGTAGCATGTCTTTTCCAAATTTGAATAGATTACGACACCACGACCACATGTACGAACAAATAGATAGCAAATTTTAGTCATTTTAATATTACCTACTCGTAATTTCATGCCTTATTCAATTGTAGACCGTATCGTATATCACATACACAGTCTACTACAAAAATCGCACCAAAGTTGTACTCAATGGCACTAAATATTTTATGTGCTACATTTAATACGCCATCCTAACAATAAACCAGACCTTACAATGAATGCTCCTGCGAACTATGCTGTATTAGTTTGAAACAAAAAAGCATTGTAAAGTGTCTGTAGTTTATTATAAAACAAAGCGTATTAGATTACCTACCACGCACGTATTCGCCACATATTCTCAGAAGAGTGAGGACAGGTGTGGATCTTACGTACATATTTCAAAAATATGTACCTTTTAAAATACGAGTACGTTTGTTACAGTATCATATTAAACTTATCGAAAGTACATATCAGGCCTTTGCATTTCTGAAGCATAGTTTTAGCATTTTTACCAGCAGAACGTTCTCCGCTAGCCTCTGAGTAACGTGCTGAGGCGTCACAAAGCGTCTTAAATCTGGTAGCTTATGTGCATAAGCGTTAATTATAATTATAGTATAGTCATTATATATAGTATAGTTATTATAAGTATAGTTAATTTTGCCATATTTTGATAAATGATCGAAAGTCAAATAAATCTATTTATCTACATACTATCATTTACATATTTGTCTACTATTATGCTTTATTAATATTGTACTTAATATCATCGACAGTACTCACTATTTCCAAGAACTCATTCATACTGTGCGGCTAAAGAACAACGTGTAGGATCCTACCTAAGGACCTTAATGGTATTTATTACGGTCTACATTTGTATGACCTGTATTATACACCAGAGTTGCCCTATGCTTGTTTTTACAACTATATACAGATAATGACACGATAAAGGTTGTGTTATGAATTCAATGTAATTGTATATATCAGCGGTTAATTACCTCAAATTTTAATTTGCTCTTTGATACATATCTTGGCACAAAGTAATCATATTATAATATTTTGTGGTTGAGTTTAATCATGTTTATCACCACCTTATATCTTTAATTTCATTGAAATTCTAAGTAGGTGTGTAGAAACAAGCTTGCATGTTTTGCTTTTGAAATTCGGGACTATACATGTTTGTATATATTTTAGATAACTCTGTAAAAAGGCCTTGACTCATTTGAATAAGTATTAAGTTGACCTTCTTTTGCACAGATCAACGCTTCTTCGGATTGGCGCGATTTGTGAATTTCCTAATAGATTTGACCTATTTTAATCCTATTTTAATATTGTACAGAATTAATCTTGTTTTTTTTGTTTGTGGATTCCCCATAAGTTAAGAGGAACTTCGACGTGTTTGTAAATAGACCTTTACCGTACCGACCTGTACCTTTAAGTAATAAGAAAAATGGGTAAATATTTAAAGTTTACGTTATTCTTATAAACAAATTTATAATCAAATTAGACAAATTGGAGCGATGTTCAAATAATCATCATGGTTTTAAAGTACATACTTAGTTATTTACTAACACGTTACGTGAGCACAAATTAAGTTTCAGTCTTTATCTCACATTGACATTGGTATGACGCCAATTATAAGTTATTTATCACCATTTGCAATGAAAATACGCTGTTCCACGACTGCAATATTCTTGCTATCAAGTGCAAGCGTTACAGTTGTCTTAGTGATTCTTTGTCTCTACATAACTTAACATAAATGTAAGAGATATGGGTCAATCATTTTGTAAATATATAACGCGTACTTTCCGCATACAGAGTTTCGGGACATCGTCATCAGTATTGAATTCATTGGCATCATTCCGCTCCGGCCCATTCGCTGATATCTCATACAACTCAACGCCGGATGTTAACGAAGTATATCCTGGATTGTTTGTCGGCGACGCGTACGTATTCTGTGTACATTGTTCTTAATCAATAAAACCTATCAAAATCATTTTGCATTTAAAAGAGCTATCGAACCGTACTTTGGCTCTAGATCGCAAGATAATTCTAGGGCCATAGCGTGACTTAAAACTGAGCCAGTTGCTTTAGCTTACTGTCTTGAATATTATCTACTCACGTAAATTGTATATTGTATTGATATTTTAAATCGATATTTTAAATTTAGAGTGGCAGCAAAGGACAAACAATTCTTAAGACGAATGGGCATAAATTATGTTCTCAACACAGCCGAAGGCAAGCGGTACACTCAGGTGGATACAGACCACATTTATTATCGCGACTGCCCTGGACTTCGCTACAAGGGCTTCCAACTTATGGACCTGCCCTCGACCGATATATCAAAGTATTTCTACATAGCTGCCAACTTCATAGATGAAGCAGTTTCAAGCGGAGGTATTTTTTAATTATTTTTGTATTTAATTTTCAAATAAATCTAAAATTATAAGCAGGAAAAGGTTTGTATCTAAACTAAAGATAATATTTTGTACTATTTTTAGATTGCAGATGTTCATGATTTTTTAACGAGATCAACTTTGAACCTATGGTCCATTTGTACCCAAAAAATAGTGGAACGTCGATCAAGTCCCGCACCCTGACTAATCAGGTTCCAAGCTTTCGTTCGAAACGATAATTTCTTGGAATCCGATCCGATTGGTCAGGGGGGGGGTCCTAACGCGAATAGACCATAGTTTAGAATTGAACTAAATTGGTGTTCTCTTATTTTACTTTAGGCGTACTAATGAAGTCAATTCCTTTTTATATATGTATATATATTGTTCCTCTTTAACACAGAAAATTTATTACTATTGAAATTTGTTGAAACCAATTTTTACTAAATTCAACTTAACCAACTGTTTCACATTTGAGTTAAATGTTTGATGAACGCTACCTCTAGGCCTGGTGTCTAAGTCATAAAAGAATTAACTGGCTAAGAAAAACCTAAAATAACACTGTACTGAAATGTTATTAAACCTTGTTACATGTAACTCGTTGCGTATTAATCATCAATATACTTTTATTTTTCGGTTTGAATAAGCCAAAACCTACTACATTTTGTTAAAATTGTCCATGTCTATTTCTTTTAGGTCGCGTATTAGTTCATTGTATGATGGGTGTTTCACGCTCAGCTACGTGTGCGCTAGCTTTCCTCATGATCAAACGAGGAATGTCTCTCGCTGAAGCAATTGGCACAGTTCGTGCCCGTCGCGACATTCATCCCAATGAGGGCTTTATTCGCCAGCTACAACAGCTAGAGAGGGAGCTCCGCCTTAATCGGATCCGCTGACCCTACGGTATCCATAGCTCTCTCCTCAATCTCGCAGCATCCGCCCGACACCATCGAGTACGAAGTCTCGACCGAGCTTACTATCACCGTGACTAAATCAAGTATTCCGTATCTACTAAAAATACCAAATGGACCTTAAAGTTTCAAAGTAAAATTCAAAAAATACTTATACAACCAAACTATCACACTCAATCAGTCCATATCGAATTTTAAAAAGAGAACAGAGGAGAGAACCGAAGGTTTTTACACCTAATTTTAGACTAAATTTTATGCAACCGTCACTAATGTGGCCCAGGGTTGTATGTTATTGTAATATCTGGGATTGTTAACTTGTGAGTGGCCAAAAATTATATGCAACAGACATTCATTTGTGACTTTGTCGACTAAATCTTGGAGAAGTTCGTTTTTACGAAAGTTTATAAATACTAAAATACCTACTGTTTTAGACTAGACGTTATCAAATTTAAAGTCATGTTTAATATAAATATTTGGTATAAGTGTAGTGTGATTTTTTAAGGATAGCACCTTCTTTAAAACATATTACATAAATGGCTCTTAAATTCAAATTTTTGCTTTAACTTTTTTTTTTAATGACTGAAATAAGATTTATTTTACTAAAATTGCAGGACATGAAGCTATTTTTGTAGACATACTTTATTTATTAAGTCAGTTTATTTTGGGAGTGAAATGTTATTAATTCCACAATCATGTTGTTTTAAAAAGGCTTTTATAGCCTAAATAATAATTATTAGGCTACATAAACTTATTAAATGTATTGTATTTCATAATATAAGTATATTTAAAAAAAAATATTTTATATTTTGTTACAGAAAAATATTTAAAGAAATAAGTTTTTGCCTCAAATCTGTAGGTAATTGATATTTTGTACTATTTAAAAGTTATATCTGTGTTATATTCCCGTGTGCCATTTTGTTTTGTATTGATGGAGGAATGTGGCTGTTATGAAAAAATATATAATTTTAACACTGTTATGTAGATTAATAAAACATTATTGAAACCAGTTTATAAAATGTTAAAGCTTCCAAATAGTATTTAATTAATGATTAATAATATATTGACTATAGTACAATGCATAGCCTTAGTCATGAAATGACGTTTATCTGAACATAAAATATACTATGGATGTTGTGTATACCTATATTTTTGTATTAATGATAAGTTTTCTTTCAAGACTGGCAACTATGTCACGTTGAGTGATGAATGACTCGTAGTACTGGTATTTAGTTTAGCATGTATGTCATTGGCTCGCCACTCACGGGGCACATGGGTTGAAGACTCCCACTACTTGCCAAGTAACATTTGGCTACACATGTCACTATTAAACTATATCTAATTGTAAATTAAACCACTGATGAAACATTACAATAAATTAATCTATTTTTATAACAAAGCTTATACTTTTTTAAGTGAGTAATGATATTGTATTTAAAAATTAATATGTGAGTTAACACATCCGCTTGAAAAAAATCTATTGTATCAATGTTCTTGGCTGCCTTTTTAACTTATGGTTTATTATTCATGTATCAGTTCAGCAATTAGTATCTTCTGTATACTAAAGTTATTTAAATAAAAAAAAGAAAATATAAGGGTCTGGTTTCAAAATCAGCAGGTGATCTGATATTATTTTTGTAAAAAGTAATGTGATGTTCAAGCGTAGCTACTAGAAACTTGGCTGTATTAAGAAGTGGTTTGTGATTAATGATGAGCTAGTTGATACTTATAAGTGCAATATTAAGATGTAAAGAGCACCAAAGGAAACAAACATTGTGATATTCATTGTAAAAAGCATGGTTTAACAGATGAGTAGGAGCTGCCGGGTGAATTAAAGTACTAAATATTTTATCATGAAAATAGTTTAGATATGAAATGTGAGAATAGAAATTACCAAGGTTAGTACATATTCAAATTTATTATAGATATATAGCTTTCGGCCCAGCTAGTTTCGGACCTGACCGTACCCCTTTTTCGAGGAGTGAACCATCCTACAGCACTGAGACATTTTCGTCATACATGTGTGAATAGAAAAGTATTAATCAATATGGTAATTATCTTCAGTCCGACAGTTTCTTTTTGCATCTCGTGATTAATGTGAATTAGAAAGATAATTTATTTTATTGCAAAATATATTAATTATCATAGTCTCCATAGAGTAACAACAAAGTAAGATAATCTATTTAATATTATAGCTAATGAATTATGTAAGTCTTGTTAGTTTATATATACTTCATAGATGAGGCATGTTACCTTTTCAAACATTAATTAAAATGTGAACATAATACAATAATACATGTAAATTAAGTAAGTATAAACATTAATGTAGGTACATATTTGTAAACTGTACTCTGTATCAAAATATTATGAACATTTGGCTATGTCATGAATGGCATCATTAATCCATGAAAATAATATACATACAAAGTATTACAAATAAAGCTATTTATTCAAACCTTTATCAAGACCTTTTCATTTACATCTATACGTCATATGTGAATGTTTAGTTTCTAAAACGAAATCTACCTATTATAGTAGGTTTTCTTTAGACAAGTTTAATGTAAAAATAATACTACTAATATAATACCGATATAAACACATTAACATTCGAGTTAAATTAAACAAAACTCATAGTAACTATTTTATTTAATACTACAACTAAAAAACAATAAACATATTTTACAAAAAGGGCCGATTCATTTCAGTTTTCTTAGCCTTCTTATCCCTAGCTCTAGGAAACCACCTGTGTTCTGTCGTTAAAGTGATGGTGGACAACTGCTTTCTTGCTAATTCTGGCTTCATGTCTTTAAACACTCTATAGACTTCAGATGTATCGGTCATCCTTAAAACAGGCGTATCCACTTTGGCTTCATCTGGAAGTGGTCTTGAAAATTCATAAGGAAATTCTACATCTTTATGAAGTGCAACTATTGTAGAACCGTCGTCAGTAATCACGATTTTATTATAGCATCGTGTGATGACATTTTTAGGTCGAAATGCGATGGCACGCATTAAATAATTCATTCTTTTATGTTTTTGAAATTTTCTCACAAAAATAACCTAACAAATAACAATTTGATTTCTGGTAATAGTGGTAATTGACATTGACAAATTTGACAATTTCAAGGGATGGCAGCCTTCGCAACTTCTATTCATCGGGGTCGATGATAAATAACCAAAAAGGTTCAAGAAGCATGCATTAAAAGAGCTGAGAAGACGAATTGGTTCAATTTGTAATTATTATATACTTGATTGTATAAATATTTGTAAGAAAAATAATTTCATTGAATACAATTTATAATTTACACTTATTATAATTTCCTTTTTATTAATAAAGTCCAAAAGATTTCTTAAAATATACTTTTTTTTAATGCTTTGCGTGGCATTGATAGATTTAATACAGAACTAGTATTAAATACAATTAAATACCATATCTCTGACAATTTTGAAAAATTGATATAATGTTCTCCAACATCGCTCATCGCTAGACACCATACTTATTTATGAAATGTCAGTCTTGCCTTTCTTGGAGATGTAAGGATGTCCGTGTGTCCCTATTCATCCCGTGGATGTCGTAATCTGTAATACGATACTGCAAAGAAAAGGAAAACTTGACACAAACCCTATACCAACCCGTCTGGCCAGCGTGGTATAGTAGGTCAAAACCTCCTTTCTAAGTAGAGGCCTATGTCCAGCAGTGGACTATTAAAGGCTGTTAATGTGATGTATGTGAAGGGTAATAGCAAATCGTAGAATTATGAGACCTGTCCAAGGAGTGCAAGATTTATTATCGAAAGGCATGCTTATATAGCATAGCATTGACTTCTCTTTTAAATTCAGTTTATTCTTAAGTCTCAAATGAAATAAATGCACTTGAGTTACATTGTAAGAATGGCGAATTTGCAGAATGTATACTCATTCTGTAAATTTACTTAAATACGAATATATATAATATCAATTATCAATATTTCAAAATGCAAAGAACCGACGAGTCTGTTTATTCTATAGAACTACTTTATTAATAGTTCCATTATAAGCCTAAGAATCATATCTTTGCTAATCATTATAAAAAAAATTAACCTAGGTTAAAGTGCAGAATGGCAACAACGCGTTTCCCTTTATTACTATAAAGGCACACGTAAGACATTAGCTTAGAAACGAACATAATCTTTACAACTTGCTAGTAATAACTATGTACAAAAACAAAATTCTGTGTTTATTTTTATTTGTAAAATACCTTTTGGTTTAACTGAAACAATATGTCTTGTCCTTTGTTTTTTAACCTGTTACTCGGAACGTAAAAAAAAATCATTTTGACAATTCTGAGCTGGCAGGGCAACACTGCCTAAAAATCTCAATGACAGCGGATTGATAACAAAACGTCATATAAATAAAATAAACAACTTTTGCAAGAAAAACTGTTGTGGGGCTTGACTGAGACTTGAAAGAATTCGTATTTAAATGGATTTTCCTGCTACACCATCAAATGCATCAGATAGTAATGAATATCCAAGTGCTACGCGTTCACCGTTTCACAGTGCACCAGATGATAATAAAAGACGCAGGTATTGTTTCTATGAACTTATAACTACAATGATGCTGGTAAAATATATCTTCATTGATAAATAATTTCTTTCAAAACAATTTCAGTTCGTCACGGTCTATAAAACGAAGACGTTTTGACGATGAGTTGGTTGAATATAGCTTGGGTTTGCCGGGGGCTTCACTTGGTAAAGGAGATAAGAGAATGCGCACTCAGTCCTACACGAGTCAGGCTGCCGACTTACCGATGACTAGTGCTCCAATGACACCTGCTAATCTTCCTCAAGAGCGACGCAGGGTTTCGAGCAAAGTGTCTGGTGGAGGGAGTGTAGCGCGCAAATCTCGTCGCAAGGGACAACTGAGCCATTTATCGACTAAAGATTTAGGACGTTGGAAACCTACCGACGATCTTGCACTGATATTAGGTGTACAACAGGTAATTATTGTTATCATTATTGAAGTATATTGATGAAAATCATAGGACAATGTGTTTACTATGTTAATAAAAATTGTAATAGATAGGTTTGTAGGTTATCTCTTAGAATTAAGTTTAAACCATTGAACCACTTGGTGTCGGAACCAACCATTGGGTGTTGTTAACCATATGTTTTTTGTTAAAGACTCCACTGTTGACTAGTGATGTATAAGTTTAAATAAAACAAAGTGTGAATTTGTAATGATAATGTTGAAATTGGTCGAGTTCACAATGGATTTGTAAAACATAAGAATTGTATCCATTACAACAAAAAAAAAAACTATTCATTTACAAAACTTATCAGATAAATATACAATAACTGCTCATTTTTTATTAACATATCTGATTCACTTCATCTGCTATCTTCAAAGCTTCTTCTGGAAGGCCTAAAAAGAAATATTGATCATTCTTCCTTTTAAAATTTTACATTCTACAACCTATAATGATGTATACATACAGCCTGTGAAGATATGTAACACCTGTTATGTGTATTAAATTTTGTGGGTACTAAATTAAATATTAAGCACTAGTAAAGAAATGGTTATTGTTTAACTTATTTGCAATATTATTGAACATATAAGTAAAACTATCACCAATTGCAGCACATGTAGTGCTCTTTGGACAATACCCCAGTAAATATTAATAATAATAACTTCATACATCTCACATACTGCAGTCTTTTTCTAAACTTGGCAGAGCCTGTGCTATCTATCTTAACCAGACTGCTGATAAACATACTTATATATTTCGAAAAACATACATTGATTAAAATACTTCTAAAAACAGAACAAATGATCGGGCACATCACACAATTATTTGCCCTGGGTGGGAATCGAACCCAAGACCTGCAGCTTAGTAGTCAGGGTCACTAACCACTAGACCAAATAGTGTCCAGCTTTTTAACCACTTTTATCTGTTTACTTAAGCGGTAACATGTTAGGCTGTAAAAATATATTCCTTTCTCGAAATAGCTGTGCAAGCGATTTTGTCTTAAATACCTAAAACTTTTATAAACAGCATTCAGTTTTACTTATGTATATATAATAAAAAAAATAATAAATAAGTAGATGGTATAACACTATTGCATTGGGCTAAGCCTGTAAAAATAGTTGTTTTTAAAGAAAATAAATAAATAAAATAAATAAATAAATATATTTGGGAGATGCTCATTATTACACACTTACATACAATAATAAATTGACACATTAGAGCATGTTATAAAAGGAGAATAGAGGTATATAGTTAATGAATGAAAATCATTTTTGTTGTCAATCACTTTTAGTTTGATAGTTGATTTCAAAAACTCTTTCTGTGTACTTTTCAGACCAATGACTTGCGAATCGTTCATCGAGGTATAAAATTCTCATGTCGCTTTACTGTCAGTGAGCTACAATCTCGTTGGTATGCTCTGCTTTACAATGCTGAAATTTCACGAGTGGCTATAGCAGCAATGCGCAATCTACATCCAGACTTAATAGCTGCTGTACAGCAGCAAGCATTATATTCTACTGCAGAAGAAGAATTACTTGGAACATTAGCTAGTGTAAGTCTTATACTGCAATGACTTATTTCACTCTATTTTTATTCTTTGGAAAGGAGTGAATAATGAATGCATTTATTTCAGATCATTTTGAGTTAAAGGTACACTTTTTTTTTACGTGTTGAAACCCCCTCGGGCTGTCACCCCATCGACTGAGGAGGCGGCGGAGTCCGCGAGGAAGCGACGTCCGGCACACGCGGAGGTCGCCTTCTCGCGTCTGGTCGTTATGGCGAGTAGACGAAAAAACCCGTCCTGTCCACCCGTGGCCACACTCAGGGTGGCATGAGGCAGTTGTAAGCGCGACTCCGCCGCCCGGTTCGCCGGCGACAAAATGGGTCCGAGTGGAGGGTGTTCTCCCGGGCTCTCTCCGCCACCTCCTTCTGTGAGATGACGTCTTCGCAGAAGGATGCGACCGCGGTGAAAAATCTGTCACTACCAGCCATGGAGCGTATGACGGCCGGTAGCAAGAGGTCCCTTCCGATGACTGCAATAAGGACCCGGCGCTGCGATGCCCAAGCCAGGCAAATATCGACCGTGTGCTGGGCCGAGTCCTCACGGCAATCGCAGTGGTGTCGGGCGGTGGTGGCGGGACTCAGTTCAGTCCTAGCGACCGAGTGCAGGTACTTCCCGAAGCAGCCGTGCATGGAAAGGACCTGCGTTAGTCGGATGGAAAGGGTCCAAAATGTATGCAATAATGCCGCCCTGCCCACTCGACGATAACTGGCTGGAGCACCTCCACGGTGGCGAAGCCAGCACGTGCAGCCTCCAGCCGAGACGACCAACGAACCATCGTGGCTCGGTGAGCGGCTTCACGCCACTCGCACGCATCTCTTCCGGCGGGGGCCTACTGACACTATCCGCCCGGAACTCAGTCGTCCGCCGATATACTTCGGCGAGCACTTCCGCCTCCAAATCCCACGGGAGAGTATCGACCAATGCGCACGCCGCCTCCGTCCGGTTAGAGCCATACGCGGTTACCGCGTATGGCTCTAACCGCTAATATCCTCTGAGGGCGCCAGAGGCGTGCCTTATTCTGTGCGGTCAGAGCCACCGTCCACACTGCCATTACACACACCGTACAGTGCCATTGATCGAACAACCCTGTGTACAGCAGTCTCGTGAGTTAAAGGGATACTTGGACCCACCCTAGTTGGGTCTCAGGTAACCTTACATACTTGATGAAAGTACCTAAGTAATCACTTAATACTAGATAAGGCTATGGTGTCATTCTGGTTTAGTGGGCCTAAACGTGCCGAAGCATGGCTCTCCCACGGTGACATGTTTAATCATGTTTTAACAACTCTGTGTAGTCCTGATCAATCTTTAATTTTTTTGTGATCAAATGACTTGTGACAAGTATCCAAAAGTTATCGTTTGTACATGTTTTTTATAACGCTGTACCTTACACTCCTTAGTTAGTTCCTTCCAACTTCTTGTAATGATATTCGAACCTAAATTATTAAATATATTTAATTACAGACATCTCATCCAACCGAAGAAAAATTCCAAGAGTTGCTGGAGCAAAATCCGCACATCTTCTATCCCTCTCGTACACCAAAGACTTTGATGGCACATTGGCAACAACTGAAACAGTATCAATTATTACCAGACCAAAGTGTTAAACCACTGATAAAGAGTAAGTTATTGTTTCAACTTGCATTCTAAAAGTTTTTGTACTTAGATAGTCAATTTATTTATCCTATGTCGTGGGGGACTTTACAAACATTTATGATCACATAAAGTGTTGTCCCATTTCGGGATCGAACTCACAATACTCAGCGCAGTAGGAAGCGGTGAAGGTATATCAATAAGTCTTAAATCAGATAATAGTTCATATTTTTTTTTAGAAATTTTTATTTAAAGAAGTCCAAATTGACCCCCAGGTCCTAATAAAACAATTAAGACACGAAAAGATTATTTTGTCAATTTTAACACATAAGTTGCTCAAAAAAATAGAATTTTCTTTTTTTAATTTTGCAATAATTAGATTTTTGGTAAAAACGATTTTAAAGCTTTGGGGCAGTCAGAGAGGAGGTTTTGGCCTATTATACTACGCCGGCTAAACGGGTTGGTATATTCTTTGTTTAAACTTGATAACTTAGCGACGGTATCTCTCGTTCATGCCCCCGCCCTAGCTAACCTCACTCACTCGGTGAAATGCAACTATCGCGCTCGTTGAGCCGGCTACATGTGGCGCCCTTTTCCCACCCTAACTTACGACATTAATCCCTATTCAGTCTACAAAATATTCGTTGTGGTTATGTTATCGTCGACATCATAATTTATCTGTATTTATAAAATGAACCGTTATTTAAAATGTTTTTTTATTTGAAGACATCTGAATTTATCCTACTGACGACGAGACGATCATCAAACGTTTGACAGAAAACAAAATGTATGCAATAAAGTAATATATGTGTTCTTGTTTTAGATGGAGGAAACAAAGGGCTGTCATTTTCTGACGTCGAAGACACATTGAATGATTCAGAGCTTCCGGATTTTAAAGAAGATGGAATGGATTATGAAATGCAGATTGCGGACAGGTACAATAAAAAATACTCTTTATATTATAAACTTAGTTACAATAAATATTGTATTAGGTTATTTAAATCCAACTACAGCGATTGCGTTCACAAATCTTAAACTTGACGATGGAGTCCACTATTTAAGACTTGCCCATTGAGTCCAAATCTTTTCAACTATAATGTGCAAGGCCCGGAGTTCTCTGAACGTCGCTCGTGCGTGAGCTACGACCGGCGCGTGTCCGCCGTCGGTGGCGTACACCGTCGGCTGCGTGCGAGTGGGTTCTCAGGACGCAGGTGCTAGCGTCTTGTGGTCGTGATTAACAACGTGAACACGATCACACGTGAATCGTGTTTTACGCGAAGCAAAATGAACGAAAATATAATAACATTGTTTAGAGAAGAAGTGGCAAATGAACTTCTGAAGTTATCAAAGAAAAGAAAAAAACTAATTCAATATTCATAAAATCACCGACCCACATAAATTGTCGTTTGATATTATTAAATCTTATAAAACAATTAACAATATGTCATTTTCAATCGTACGCCGCTGGCGGTGGACAAGCGTCGTTCGTCAGAGGACCCCGCGCCTAATTCATTCACTGCTTTTCACCACGGAGGCCCACTCCACCCTCCCCTACCTTTGAGGAGTGGGGATATCTGTCTATCAAGTTGCAGGTGTCCATGAACGGTCCTTCTGCGAGCAAGTTATGCTCGCGAAGGAGACGGCGGAGCGGGACCGGGAGAGGTTTAGAACTCTCCCGGCCCGCCAGGCCCGGGAACGGGCTAGGTACCGCAGGCGACTCAGGCGCCGGAGGTCGCAGAACGACCTCCGTCCTCCATAAGCGCAGGCCTGGGAGCACATGGAACATGGGGTTCCCACACGGGGGGGGTCGTCGTCGTCTACTCGTCTGTAGATGACCCGAGGTATGTCGGGGCACCAGGGACTTCCTTTCTAGGGTATACCTGAATCCCCGGCTATTAGTACCCGAGACGGCGTGCGGTTTAGGTCGGTTCATGCCCGACATGTGGTATCCGAGGGGATTTCCGCACAGAAAAAAAAAGGTGTCCATGAACGGCGATAGTCACTTATCATCATGTGACTGGTCTGTTCGTTTGTCTCCTATTATATTATAAAAAAGTGTCTGATAATAAATCGCTTTGTTATCTATCTTGGATAAACGCCAGGCCATTACGTATAATGTTTTTTACTATCGCATAACCACACAAATTGTTCTGAAGTATTTTTGTAGTGATGAGTAAAATTTGATCACAAAACGTTTAATAAATCAGGCAATAAAAAAAGAACTCGTTGTAGAGCAAGAACCATCAGTCATACTTTTTTGACGTTTTCGATTGTGAGACGCAGAAAATGAAATCCACTGATGCTACTTTATAACTACAACCTGTAAGCTGTTTGAGTCATCATCAATCATCAACAGCTTTTTATAGCCCAATAATAATAAAGCCCGTAATTTGCTTCCGTCATCGGCTCTTACGACATCCACGGGATGAATAGTATTCCGTATTCTAAATCCGTCACCACACGCTATTTGAGTATATCAATATTATCGACTTAAATCTAAGTTAAATATGTGTTAATATATTGAAGACATCAGATACAGGTTGTGTTAGAATATATTAACACAATGAGCTTTCTTTTCTAATGAAAATGAGTCTTAGGTAAATACTTAGGCCGGAGTCATTATACCTCACACATTTCACACACGGCCATCCCAAACTTGGCAGAGCCTGTGCTATGGTGACCAGACTGCTGATAAACATACTTGTATATTTTTAAATACATACATATTATAGATAAATTACACCCAGACACAGAACAAATGATCATGCTCATCACACAATATTTGTCCTGGGTGGGAATCGAACCCACGACCTCCGGCTTAGCAGTCAAGGGCACTAACCACTCGACCAACAGGCCCGTCAAACGTCATTATGTTGATGTAAGCTGGAACGAGCCTGCAAGAGCTTTTTTCTGAGCAGACGCATTACTTGATAGTAAGTGACCACCGTCGCTGGTGGACATCTGCAACTCAAGTGCGTTGCTGCCGTTTGAGTCCCAAGAATCAGAAGCTTTTTTTTTAGAAATCTATGCATCTGTACAAATAAATAAAATTGAAGTGTCTGTTTGTAACGACAAAATAATAGCATTTCATGCTCACACGATTATTTGCGGATTATTTGTCCGTGTAGTGACGGATTAAGAATACAGAATGTCACTACCCCAATTCATCCCGTCGGTATCGTAAGAGTCGACTAAGGGCGCAAAACAACGCAGGACACCAGCACTGCAAAAAGAAGGAAAACTTGACACAACCTGTCTGGCCAGCGTGGTATAGTAGGCCAAAACCTCCTTTCTAAGGCTCTCCTTAGAAAGGAGGAGGTCCAGTGGACTATTAAAGGCTGTTGGTGGTGGTGACGATAATTTGCACGATACCTATGCCTAAAAATAAGTTCAAATATTTTTTGTCCATCTGTTTGTTTGTTCCTGATAATCTTCACAACGGCTGTTCCGATTTTGATAATATTTTACAACCAAGGTATCTGTCGGTCAAGGTTTCTCTCAAAAAACCCTATAAAATTTTGCCCTGTCCGGGAATCTTACCCACTAAGGCAGCCGAAATTCCACCCGAACGAAGTCGCGGGCACCAGCTACAAAGAGACTAAGAGATAAGCAATAAAATAAACCACCGGCTAAGAGATAAGCATAATACCGATGGTTACGAAATGGTTTTTATAATTCGGATCTTGTTTGAATATCTGTTGCTATAATTCACAATTATTCAATTGAGTGTCACGTATTATGATATTTCTTTGTTTCTTTTTTAGAATTGACAAAAAAGAAGTCCGGCTACTGGAGACGTCTTTGTCGCGATTTCAAGTCTTGGTGCAGTCTGTCGCCGGCGGTAACTCAGAGTTGGACAAAAATACTCTTGCAGTACTGCGGGGAAGACTCGTGCGATATTTGATGCGTTCAAGAGAGGTAAGCGATTATATGTAGGTATACATAAATAAGGAAAATTTGACACAAACCCTATAGGTACCAACCCGTCTGGCCAGTGTGGTATAGTAGGCCAAAATCTCCTGTGTAAGGAGAGGCCTATGTCCAGCAGTGGACTATTAAAAGCTGTCGATGATACATGATATATATTTATATACATTGTTATATCAAATCACACCTTCCTTAAGACAATATCTTAGATAATCGCTCTTTAAACCGACGCAAAAAGGAGGAGGTTATCAATTCGGGTGTGTATATTTTTTTATGTACGTTCGGGCATAATTCCGTCATATATAGACGAATTTTCAAAATTATTTTTTTATTCGAAAGAGGTTTATTCCTAAATGGTCCCATTCAAATTTCATCTAGATCTGATTATGAGTTTCGGAGACAGACAACGGAACTCTTTAAAGAATGGCAGCAAATCAACCGCGATTGTTGCTTGGTTTTTAGTGCTCTTTGTTAGTATTATTTGAAGTCGGTTCTACTTTTTTAAAAGGATTTATTATCATATTATTAAAAACCATAATGTTGATTTTGCAGTTTTCAATAAAACATTTCAATTTGTTCCAAAACATTCAAATTGCAATATTTATTTATTGTCCTTTTACAGGAGAGCCATTTTAATAAAAAACAAATAATGTTAAATAAATAAATAAAAAAAAAGCTTAATTAGCCTTTGCAGTATTGTCTTCTGTTATATTAAGATAAACTTAACAGAAATGTTTGTTTCTGTATATAAGGGTGTATTTTTAAATGCACATCAAAAAACTAATCACCCGTCAACTTATTTACATCAGTTAAATATTTTTTACATCAAAATAATGAAATGCAAACAAACCACATCTTTAACTAATCTAGTACTACGAATAATCTGAAAATATGCATCAATACTAAAAAGTTGGGCAATTTACGAAAATATATTATTTTCCTCTTCACTCCACTGCTGTTTCTGTCCCGCTTCTTTATTAGATATTTGCGGTGACCTTTACCCCAAATCTCTTTTTTTTATTCGTGCTCTTTACCTTCATTTACCGTCTTCCATTGGGCATGGTAAGCGTTAAGATAGTTGCCGGCCATCCAAAACCGACCAAAAGACTTTGCAATGTTACACATTCTGCCGACTCTAGTAGAATTAGGAGAAGGACAAAAGTTCATAAAACATATATTATATACCTACTAAAATTAAAACGTCCACCTTACTCCTGACGAATAAGACGTTCATTATAATATATATTTGATGAGATTATTATTAAGAATGATTACGTAATACAGTGGCTGGCACTGGATAAATGCGAACTGCCCAATACCGCGATAGTTGGCGCTCCCTGGCTTGGTTCAGCAGTGGACAGCGATCGGCTGATGATGATGAAGTAATAATATAATATATTGTTTAAATGCTGTGCAATGAAGTTGTTTTACAGTTATCTATTACTGTGTCATTGACTTTAAAATAAATTATAAATTCATTTTTTTATTTCAATTTGTATCTTTCGGTCTATGAGATACATATCATATGGCCAGTTGGCTTTTTATAGTTTTTGAACATACTGGATGGAATGCATTCTACTTCATGACTGTTTTTTTTCATAAAGTTTAAACTTCATGAAAAAAATAAAATAGTCAGATTAACATTAATTTTAAACACAAATAAACTTTTCATTTTTAATGTTACGACAAGAATTGAACTCGTTTTATAAATAACGATAATCAAATTGTGTCAATCCAAAATAATTTACCATACTTATATACTTCTATAATACGTGATATTTAAGGAAAGTCCACCTTCAGCATCTTAATAATTTAAATTGGGTTTAATGATCGTATTCAAAGTATCTACATATACTACTACGAGTAGACTACTATTATAGTCATGATATTATGTAGGTATACAGGTGTGGGTCTTGACCGATTTTTTTTTTAATTCATAAGGTGACAAACGAGCGAATGGATTATCAGACGCCCAAGTGCGAGTTTATATCACATCAACTCGCTCGTCACGGTGACCGCGTTCGGCGTTGCGATTGGCCCGCACTGAAATCTCTACCAATCGCAACGCTAAACGCGCTCGGCGTCAAGAGTGAGTAGATGTGAAATAAACTTAAACTTGGGCCTCTAACCATAAGTGACTATTGTTTAAATGTCTCCCCTCCAGAATCAAGACCTCACTGACTTTGTGAAAAACGACGAAATATTTTAGTTATTTATTTAACACTGTGTGTTTTCTGTGAGACAGATATAACTCCGGTCGAGCCGGTCTACTTGTGCAGAATCATGGCTCTCCCACGGTAGAATTATAAAAGCCACACGTCGTTTTACTGCACACAAAATTATAATCCGCTGGGTAGCAACCACCTTAGTCACATTTTAAATGATTATTGTTTAAATGGATAACATACCCTCTGTAACTATTGGTAGGCAACGATGAATTTAATGTTGAGTTTAAGAAGAATTTAGGAAGTGTTATTTGTTGTTTACTTTTATGCAATAGATATCGTAATCGAATATTTTATATTCCTGTTGTTTCGTCATGAAGCCTGAAGTCCTTTGGAAATAGATTAGGCCATCAATTACTAACGACTTTGATTTTGCGCGTTAATAAAGACCTTTCATTTTATTTTGGACCGAAAAAAAATATTCATAATTGGAATCAACATAAGAGTACACCTGTAACTGAAATGTTTGTCTGAAGTTAGGTAAAATTGAGGCATTGTATGTCATATGCTGGACCGTGGGAATTGCCATAACCTTGGTTGACTTGTAGCGTATATTTGTGATGTCAGTTTTAGCCCCAAATAGCTGTCAGTAGTGTATCGGTGCACAGCTTGTTCGACCTTTACTCGCGTAAGTATCCCCCCCCCCCCCTAATTTTAACAGCGCAAGTCGAAAATCAGATAAATCCTTGAAATCCTATCGTCGTATATCGTGTTAATAAGTGTCGTGTGTTTAAACGTCAGACTGGTAGGTGTTAAATATATTTGTGACAGTCTTATTAGTGAGCGAACAATAGTTCTGTCACACTTAAGTTAAATAAATTAAGTTCCGGATGACAGGGCCAATAAGTAAAGATATTCTTCATTACAGCTCTTGCTAGTCCCCTGGTGTTTATATCCTGTACATACGTTGAAAGTATCTGCAGGGTTTTGGTGTTAGTACAAAAATATTGATAGATATGGTGTTTCAGTACTCCGTGGGTAAAAACTATTATAAGATCCAAAGGTGCGATAGTCGATATTAAAATAATACTAGCCGAAGGAGGGCTGTCCGTGTGGTGACGGATTAAGAATAAATTAAGAAGAAAACTTGACGCAAACCCTATACCAACCGGTCTGGCCAGCGAGCTATAGTAGGCCAAAACCTCCTTTCTAAGGAGAGGCCTATGTCCAGCAGTGGACTATTGAAGGCTGGTGATGATGAAGGAGGGCTATTAAAAGCTATGCTTACGAGTTTATTGCCTGTTAAAGTTATTTACTTTTCTCAATTTACTTCCTTTATCTTTACAAAATATACTGAAATAAAATAATTCGTCGTTTTATGTACAACAGTTACATAACCGTAAAAGGGTTGTTGAATATTCATTCAAAAAGTATACACATTGTATATTTTAATAAGGCCAGTGTTAATGGCATAATATATACAGTAATTATAAAAAATATCTAGTAATATAAAAAGGCGTTACACAATTTTAAACTGAACTATTGAAGGTTTTACTTTAACTTTATCGTATGATTAATTAAGTTTAATCAGGGAACACGTATGTTTTTTTTTTATTTGTTACTTTGTTTGCCTAGTTTTAATACACTTACCTCGGGTTTACATACGCCGTTTGTTTTTGGGTGAAGGTGATGGAAGTAATTAATTTTATGTTTATATGACAAAAGTAATGAACAAATGTAGGTATCCAAGTACATTACTTGTCTATAACAGTATGTTTTCATCATAGTTTCTATGGAAATCCAGCTTTTAAGGATGTATTCAATCATCAATCTTATATAATGTCAATATTGTATAGTTATTGAAAGATAACCATCAAACTGAAATTTCTGGAATTTATAACTTCTTTGTTTTAAAATAGTAAATAAATCATCAAATATTGATAAATATTTACCTCTTTTGAATATCAAAATGCTAAGTAGACAAAGTTTTTGGTACTCTTTGTCAATGATGACAATACAAAGGTTACAATAATTCGAAATTTGTATTTGAAAGTACGTGTTCTATCTGTACGGGTAAATAACTTACTATAACGTGTAGTATCATTCGCAATTCTGTAACACTCAATCTCCTTAATGTAACTTTTAGTGACTAGTAAGCTTAAGGCATTCTCTGATTACTAATATTTATAAACTCTCTTGATATCAGTACTTTTTCCTCTCCTGTTTAGCTCTGCGAAAGCTGTTCAGCAGCAGACACCCAGAGCTAAACATATTGTGCGATTTAATTATTTAGTGACGTTCTGTGGAATGCAACTTACTGTAGCTTATCCAGTCGTAATTCTGTTTTTCTTCATCTTGATGAGAACTGACATGACATTTCTAATTTTGAGCCAGTAATTCTATTGCAAACGGTACAGTACTTGATCTTCCCTTTATGTTTGCATTTCATGAGCATAGTTTTATTAATAAACACAAACTGTAATCGCATTGATATAACGCTTCACTTCTTTTCTGTTCATGCTCATCCAAATAAAATATAACTAAAAGTAGATTGTCATAAGTCTTTATTCTCAGAAGAGTACCCATTATCAATCATATAGTCGTTTTTCTGTGGCTGTAACTATCATTCTACTGGTTCATAAGGACAGTAGGTAATTGATCTATGATCATAATTGGTTCTCAGATTGTGTATGTAAAAGTCATATTATTTAACGTTTAGTATTTTATTTCCAATATTTCGTTCAAATTCAAATAGACAAACTTACCATGTTCTGTTATTAAAAGCGTTAAGTTATACCCTGATAGCTTCTCTAAAAGAGAAAAGAC